AGCCAAAACCATCAAAATTAATGCAATCTTTAAAAATCTTCTTTACTCCTGGGTATTATTTAAACAAATTAAATACATAGTTATGATAAGCAAGGTTGCCTCTTCCAAAATCGTGAAATTCATGGCCCCTGGATCAGGGGTTCTGGTGTTAGGGTGGGACTCTATTGATTATAAAGTGAAAATGTTTTAATTTTTTAAAGATCTTCTTCTCTACACCTGGGTATTATTTAAACAAACTAAGTACATTGTTATGATAAGCAAGGATATGCCTCTTCCAAAATTGTGAAATTCATGGCTCCGGGGACAGGGGTTCTGGTGCTAGGGCGGGGCTATATAGATCCTATAGTGAAGGTGAATTATTTCTTTGAAAATCTTCTTTTCTGCCCCTGTGTATTATTTAAACAAACTAAGTACATTGTTATGATACGCAAGGATGCCTCTTCCAAAATTGTGAATTTCATGACCCCAGGTTCAAGGGTTCTGGTGGGGGGGGGGGGGGGGGGGGGCTTCAATTGATTATAAAGTGAAAAAGCAAGAGTGCTTCTTCCAGATTAATGAATTTTATGACCCCAGTGGGTCAGATGTGATGGTGTAAGGGTGGGGCTGTTGATAATATAGTGAAAATGCATTAATTCTATTAAATAATCCTGTTTTGCTACTTAATGATAAACAGATAAGCAAAGTGATTAGGTATACATATGGTCCCAGGGTCAGAGGCTCTGGTGTTTGGTGTTTCTCGGGGGGGGGGGGGGGGGGGGGGGGGGCTCTATTGATAATTTAGTGAATCTGTAGTAAAATTGCATTATTTCTTTAAAAATCTTCTCCACACCTAGGCATATCTGAGGCAAACAGAGTAAAGTTTTTATAAAGAAGGGTATTTTTACCAGATTTTTGAACATCTGGACCATTTGGTTAAATGTTCTGGTCCTGGCCAGGGCTCTATTAATTTGTATTCTACTGAGAGGAGTTATTCCCTTTTGCCATTTACTTTTGATAATTAATCACTGTAAATAATGTACTTGAAAGGTAAATAGTATAAGAGAATTATGCAAGAATTTTTATTGTCTCAAAAAGTACTTTCATAGTTTTAATGATCAGGTTGTAAGTAGTAGATAAATAAAAATGAGTCAAAAATAACTTGTCTTATTAAATGTTCATCAAAGACCAAGAGAGGCCAATGTAAGAGATATCAACAAGGGATTAAAATAGTTCAGAAGCATTGATAATTTGTTAATATACTGTATATGATGATAGTGATAAATGGGGAACAGATTAGGACCTAATTTATGAACTGTTAATGAAAAGTAAGACTAATTATTTTGTTTATCCTGATCACCCTATTTTTCTTGCTTTTGGGCAACAAAGCTTTACCTTTCAGTTCATTTTATACTCGATGCATCCTTTAAATTGTTGTATTACACTCAGGTGACCGTTAAGGCCCTTGGGCCTCTTGTTTTTTTAATAATGGCTAATTTTATTATACATAGATGAACATGATGAAATTGCATTGTTGTACGTTAAAACAAAGTAAATGACTACAAACTGACAAAAAATGTGAATTTGTGTGTACATTTGTTCACTATTGTAATGAATATTTCTGCTCTGATAATGTGGATTGTTATGTTTATTTCATGGAATACAGTGTAAATGAAGTCACAGGCATATTTCTTAGTACTAGTACTATATATGTAGGGATGACAATGAAGTCACGGGCCTCAAACTTAGTGGTAAATAGGGTGTCGGTGAAGTCACAGGCCTCAGACTCAGTTCTACATAGGGTGTTGGTGAAATCATGGGCCTCATACTCAGTACTCTGTCGGTGAAGTCACGGGCCACAGACTCAGTTCTATATAGGGTGTCGGTGAAGTCACGGGCCTCATACTCAGCTCTACATAGGTTGTCGGTGAAGTCACGGGCCTCATACTCAGCTCTACATAGGTTGTCGGTGAAGTCACGGGCCTCATACTCAGCTCTATATAGGGTGTTGGTGAAGTCACGGGCCTCATACTCAGCTCTATATAGGGTGTCAGTGAAGCCATGGGCCTCATACTTAGTTCTTTATAGGGTGTCGATGAAGTCACGGGCCTCTGACTCAATACTATATAGGGTGTTGGTGAAGTCACGGGCATCGTACTCAGTTCTATATAGGGTGTTGGTGAAGTCACGGGCCTCAGACTCAATACTATATAGGGTGTTGGTGAAGTCACAGGCCTCATATTCAGTTCCTTATAGGGTGTCGATGAAGTCACGGGCCTCAGACTCAATACTATATAGGGTGTTGGTGAAGTCACGGGCCTCATACTCAGCTCTATATAGGGTGTCGGTGAAGTCACGGGCCTCATACTCAGCTCTATTTAGGGTGTTGGTGAAGTCACGGGCCTCATACTTAGTTCTTTATAGGGTGTCGATGAAGTCACGGGCCTCAGACTCAATACTATATAGGGTGTTGGTGAAGTCACGGGCCTCATACTCAGCTCTATATAGGGTGTCGGTGAAGTCACGGGCCTCATACTCAGCTCTATATAGGGTGTTGGTGAAGTCATGGGCCTCATACGTAGTTCTTTATAGGGTGTCGGTGAAGTCACAGGCCTCAGACTCGATACTATATAGGGTGTTGGTGAAGTCACGGGCCTCATACTCAGCTCTACATAGGTTGTCGGTGAAGTCAAGAGCCTCATACTCAGCTCTATATAGGGTGCTGGTGAAGCCATGGGCCTCATACTCAGCTCTATTAGGGTGTTGGTGAAGTCACGGGCCTCAGACTCAATACTATATAGGGTGTTGGTGAAGTCACGGGCCTCATACTCAGCTCTACATAGGTTGTCGGTGAAGTCAAGAGCCTCATACTCAGCTCTATATAGGGTGCTGGTAAAGCCATGGGCCTCATACTCAGCTCTATTAGGGTGTTGGTGAAGTCACGGGCCTCAGACTCAATACTATATAGGGTGTTGGTGAAGTCACGGGCATCATACTCAGTTCTATATAGGGTGTTGGTGAAGTCACGGGCCTCAGACTCAATACTATATAGGGTGTTGGTGAAGTCACAGGCCTCATATTCAGTTCCTTATAGGGTGTCGATGAAGTCACGGGCCTCAGACTCAATACTATATAGGGTGTTGGTGAAGTCACGGGCCTCATACTCAGCTCTATATAGGGTGTCGGTGAAGTCACGGGTCTCAGACTCAGTTCTATATAGGGTGTCGGTGAAGTCACGGGCCTCATACTGAGTTCTGTATAGGGTGTCGGTGAAGTCATGGGCCTCAGACTCAGTTCTATATGGGGTGTCGATGAAGTCACGGGCCCCATACTGAGTTCTATATAGTGTGTCGGTGAAGTCACGTGTCTCAGACTCAGTTCTATATAGGGTGTCGGTGAAGTCACGGGCCTCATACTCAGCTCTATATAGGGTGTCAGTGAAGCCATGGGCCTCATACTCAGCTCTATTTAGGGTGTTGGTGAAGTCACGGGCCTCAGACTTAGTTCTTTATAGGGTGTCGATGAAGTCACGGGCCTCAGACTCAATACTATATAGGGTGTTGGTGAAGTCACGGGCCTCATACTCAGCTCTATATAGGGTGTCGGTGAAGTCACGGGCCTCATACTCAGCTCTATATAGGGTGTTGGTGAAGTCACGGGCCTCATACTCAGCTCTATATAGGGTGTCAGTGAAGCCATGGGCCTCATACACTCAGCTCTATTTAGGGTGTCAGTGAAGTCACGGGCCTCAGACTCAATACTATATAAGGTGTTGGTGAAGTCACGGCCATTATACTCAGTTCTATATAGGGTGTCGGTGAAGTCACGGGCCTCTGATTCAATACTACATAGGGTGTTGGTGAAGTCACGGGCCTCATACTTTGGTCTTTATAGGGTGTCGATGAATTCACGGGCTGTATATCCATAATTACGTTAGCTCTAGACCTTAGAAAATTGGGTTTACTATAAATATATACGTTCTTTATTTTTGCGAATGTCAAAATTCATTAAATTCATAAAAAAGACAGTAAGTTAGGCTAATGTTTTGACTGTTTATCAATACGTTAAGAAGGTACACATAAACGGCTTACGTATCAAAATGTGTGTTTACAATCGAAATCACGGGCTTCCCAACATTGAGTTCACGGGCTTATAGACTCTCCCAATCTAATTATTTATCTGTCTGATACAAGAGGATCTTCTTGAAGGCCGAGGAATATTTTTTATCCATGTACTCTGTCAATTGTATAGGCACAGATGATGAATGAAGATGAAATACCGATCTATCAGCCCATGTTTCCTGGCACTCATAAACTGTATACATGGTATACGGTGATATATCAAAGAAAATCAACAATGGAAGGAAAAGAAAAAGGTCAGTATCATCAAGACAGTTGGTCAACTTATCAGACCTTAAAATGAAACCTGTTCTTTACAGCCAAAGTAAAACAGAATTTTACATGCCATATTGTGATCACTTCCTCAGGTACCTAGTCTCCTCAAGTTAGACACCAAAAAATGTTTTGCTAACATGTGTTAAAACATCAAATGACTCAATATTATCTTATAAGATGATCAACCTGAAATAGGTTAATAATTTCTCACTTAATCCTAATCTTGCAATCGCCTTTTGAAATTTTGAATTCCAACTTGATCTGTGCCATCAAAACGAGTTATACAGTGATAATACACTTCTTTAAATTTTCTCTGTTATCTCAATTCATATAAAGTATGCAATATTCTGATAATAAAATATGTGTTCTATTGAAAAACATGCCAGTTTTTAACTTTAAAAATTGATGTGATTTATTTTACATTAGTTACAGCTGCATGAGTATACACTATAAGTGACCATTAGGCTAGCCTAAACTTTCTGAAACAGCTATTTAATGTTCTGATGTTAAAAGCTTTCCCATTATCAACCCTGGACTTCGTGGGAACCGGCAGGTGTTGGTGTCCCACATGGCCACAATGACGTGGACACAGGTCACCCTCCCACACAGAGAGGAAAAGGGGGGTCTTACCTTATCCCCAGGCGTCCGGTACATGTACATTATCAGTAGCACAGCCCAGAGCAGCCCCAAAAACAGCACCCACCGACACTTTCTCCGAGGCATGTCACTGATTCAGTTTTTTGTCACATCGCTTTTTCCCACGGTTTAATCCATGGTAATTCTAATCCATCGTGCACACAAACTGTCAACAGTTTCTATTTTTGACCGATATAGGAGTTCCAGAGCCCCTGATAACTTTCTGTGTACCCGATCAATACACGTGTTATATAAAGGCGGTGTGTATTACTCCAGCACCAAAGACACGGCTTGTTCTAACACCAATCCATAGACTAAACGACAGTCTGTCAATCCCGTCTGTTATCATCAAAGGGAGTGGTTTCCCTTTGTGGAACTCTTCCACTTCGGAGATAATAAAAGTGTTTCTAGAAAACAAAAATTTTGCTGTCACAGTCATTGTCAAAAGCACATGATGTTTATCAAAATTTGCTCACTTTCCTCAGTTTGACATGCCAGATTTGCAGTTGAAGAATGTCTTGCTACGGATGTGGAGCTAGTTTTGGTCTTTTCAATAAAGAGGTGATTTTTTTATGTCACAATATGACAAGATGTACAGACCAGAATATTTACTGTGTCATTTATGAATTGTTTTAGCCAAATTTAGAGAGGTTTTTTGTGTTTCCTTGAAAGAAAACCTCAGAGAAATATTTTTACATTTTCAGTGTTGCTGAAAACATTTTTTTATTGTCTTCTTTTAGTTCACCTAAGCCAAAGGCTCAAGTGTACTTTTATGATCATAGAATGATCGATCACTGTAGATGTCCTTCTGTCTGTCTTTTCCATACATTTGACATTTTTCAACTTCTTCTCCAAGACGAACAGCTTAATTTGTCACAAAGCATTCAAGTTTGATCAATATAAAGCAATGCCCCAGTTCAAGGGGATATAATTTTTAAAATTGTAAGAAAATTTTGATGGGTCATTTAAAAACCTTGTTCTTAATGACAATTTGGCCATAAAGGACAAATCCTAGTTGAATGTTTCCTTCAATATAGCATAGATTCATGTTTCTTCAAGTTATGGGCACTTTGGTTAGGATTGAGTCATGATAAGGGGTTTAAATTTACCAAAAGAATATATCAGTATATGGGAAAATGTGTAAAAGACTTCTTCTAAAGAAAAGCAAGATTATAATTAGTCAAAAAGTAATGTACATGTATCCCTATTTTGTGTGCAATTTGTTCTAATTATGGCCCTTGGACCAAGGATTTGGCTACTATTGGAAAATGATTTTATGCAGAAATTTAGAACTAGAAGAACAAGATGGCCACAGTTTAGAAAGCTGCCTCGATGTATATCTAAATTGTTGAAATCAGGGACTTTAATTTGGTGATAACAATAATTGGTTTTATTTATCAATATGTAAATATATGTTTAGGAGAAAAGAGTACTGAAACAGGAAAGAGTTGTGGCCAATGAGCATCTTGTTTATTTTTTTATTTCAGCATGGCTGCAAAAATTGTGGGTTTGCCTTCTGTGGAAAATGTTTGACAAAGAAACATGAAGTTCCAAAACTGAACAATGAGAAACACAAAGTCTGCAACAAATGTTACAATATTTTATCAGGGTAAAAATTGTAATTGTGTCATTTTATTTCACCAAATTGTAATTTATTTCATTAACAAATGTCACAATATTTTAACAGGTTAAGATTTATGCAATTTTATTCCACCAACAAATATTACAATGTCTTGACTAGATAAAAATTTTGTTTTATAAAAATTAGATGGAACAGAAATACAGAATTTTTAGTGCAGATATATATCTTACTGTTTTCAATGCTTTAATTATAAAATATCTTTTTACAGGAAGATAAAACCTGAGGAGAAAAAGAGAGATGTCTCTCCACCAGAGGCATATAAAAAGTTAGTTTTGTTAAATGAATACTGTTTTAGACACCGATAAGACCTGTTTTGATACAACAGATACATTATTAACCCCAAACATTGAATAATCATAGAAGGGATGTAACTTTAGCACTAGTCATAAAGAAGTGCATTTTATTCATGTATTCATCATTCTGAAAACAGTGACCTGTCTTCTTTATACACTGATAAAGTTGTAATTCAACTATTCTTCATGTGACAAGATTATATAATTCTTTGAAGTTTGTGAGGATTTGAGGCTAAGATTGTGAAAGAATAAGTAACTTGAATATCAGTTGCATTTCATGTGACATTATTTTCACAAGGTATAGTATTTATTAGTTAGTTTGAGAATTCTCCACATATGAAGTAGTGAAATGATCCCCAGCAATTTTCTTTCAGTATCTTGAAAGAGACAGTTTTTTTTTCTTCCTTTTTGTGACAGTGTGGTCTTGACTAAAGGGAAGCAACTCTTGTTATATCTCTTACATTTGGATTTTATCCATGGTCATTATGACTGTTTGCATTCCCACATAAACAATATACAATAAGAAATTATTTTCAATCTTGTAACTCACTGTTTTAAGTTTTCCTTTCAACTGCTTTCATCAAATTACACAATCCCAGTTCAGAAGACATAAAACACTTGTTACATGTAACAGACTGAGATGTATGCACCTATGTATCTCCGAATGGATTTGAACTGGGGACCCCTGGCATGCCAGTCCAGTGCTCTAGCTACCAATTGAACTAAAAGGTTAACCCACTAGCCCAAGCTAGTAGGATGTCATGTATCTTACACTACCACATACATATTAATTATAATTCTTTGGCTAGTAAGATCTTAACTCAGCATGAACATCTTTTATTGCCAAGTGCCCCCTGCCACCGGTGCGCTAGTGTCAGGATCAGTGTGCCACTGTCAGGGCTATTTTCTTTCCCTGCCCAGAAGTTAAGGATGTATTTGTCTGTTATATCTGTCCAATTTACCTCCCAGAATTTCTTGGAAGTACATCAAGCAGTCTTTTAAGTGTAGTGTCTTTATTATATATTTATGTGAGCATGCTGGTCTATTGTCCTCCAGTGATGTGTTTCTATTGTAGGCGGGTAGCAGCTTTACAGGAGAGACAGGAACATGGTAAAGGATCTCCCTCCAAAAAACAAACAGCCAAAGGGACCCCCAAACACCCCTCCCACTCCAGGGCAGAGAGGGAAATCTCAGAGAGGCTCCAAAAACTCAAGGAGAAAACTCCAGAACAAGGTTTAGTGTAGCTGTTCATAGTAAAATTAGGATTGTCAATTTATTGAAAAATAAGGTTAACAGTGTATCAATGAAGGTTTTCTGTTTCAGATAATGAGTGTATCAATAAGTTCAATAGTGTATCAATGTCGTGTTTCTAGTCAGACTGACTGGTACATACATATCTATTTCAAATTTCTCCTTTGTTGGTAGTTGCCAAAGAAAATGTCTCGGAAAAGGAGATCAAAGAGAGGCTAGCTAGACTAAGGGGAGAGAACCCAGACAACCAAAGCTCTGATAAAAAAGTGGGTATGAGAAGATTTCACAAAGGTTCACTTAATTAAGTACAGGTATTATTAAGAGATGCCATTACGCAAATACACGTTTTTCAGTCTCTTTAAGTCTTTTTATAGAGACCAAAAAATATGGCATGAAATTAATTAAGATAGAGTTAACAAGAATTAATCTTTCATATAACAAATGATTTTTTACTATTACACATGCCTGATGTTTTAGCAGGAAGTTATTGTTGTGGACAATTAACAGTATTGTTTTTTGAGATGCTTCTAATGCTTCCATGCTAATCATTACTTAATTGTATATGATCTCCTTTTTGAGCCTGTCAGGGGTGTGCAATTACCATCACCCAACGCCCAGGGCCACCAATTTTAGAGGTCAGGCTATCATAAATCCATACTGCATTAGTCCGTCAGGCTAGTAAATCTAAAACGAAAGTATACGTATATTTACGTCAACTGAATTGATGTACGAATTAACTTTGTTGTGAAATCATAATCTTTAATTCATTTTAACCTATATGTATTGTGTGTTGCTATCGCCAGTCGTTTCAGTGACAATTATAGTCGATAAAAATAGGGAGAAGTACCTGACAATAACAAAGTGCAAACCATTATTTTTTTTTTTATTTATTTCAACTTAAATGTCTCTTTTTTTTTACCTTTTTGTCATAGTTATACATGTATTGTTTTCAGTAGTTTGTGGGCTAGTGACTGGCAACCTCAGGCTAGTAACTTTGTTACTGCCACTAGCCCAACAGGCTAGTAAATAATTTTTGTAATTGCACACCCCTGCCTGTAATTGTATATGATCTTCTTTTTGAGCCTGTAATTGTATATGATCTTCATTTAAAGTCTGTATACATACCACCAAACTACAGAACTCAGCAGTCACTTAATTGTATACGATCTCCTTTTTGAGCCTGTAATTGTATACAATCTCCTTTTTGAGCCTGTAATTGTATACAATCTCCTTTTGAAGCCTGTAATTGTATACAATCTCCTTTTTGATCCTGTAATTGTATACAATCTCCTTTTTGATCCTGTAATTGTATACGATCTCCTTTTTGAGCCTGTAATTGTATATGATCTCCTTTTTGAGCCTGTAATTGTATATGATCTCCTTTTTGAGCCTGTAATTGTATATAATCTCCTTTTATAGCCTGTAATTGTACATGATCTCCTTTTTGAGCCTGTAATTGTATATGATCTCCTTTTTGAGCCTGTAATTGTATATGATCTCCTTTTTGAGCCTGTAATTGTATATGATCTCCTTTTACAGCCTGTAATGGTACATGATCTCTTTTTACAGCCTTAATGGTATACATGATCTCCCTTTTATAGCCTGTAATTGTATATGATCTAATTTTATAGCCTGTAATTGTATATGATCTCCTTTTATAGCCTGTAATGGTGCATGATCTCCTTTTATAGCCTGTAATGGTACATGATCTCGTTTTATAGCCTGTAATTGTAAATGATCTCCTTTTATAGCCTGTAATGGTGCATGATCTCCTTTTATAGCCTGTAATGGTACATGATCTCGTTTTATAGCCTGTAATGGTACATGATCTCCTTTTATAGCCTGTAATGGTACATGATCTCCTTTTATAGCCTGTAATGGTGCATGATCTCCCTTTATAGCCTGTTATTGTATATGATCTCCTTTTATAGCCTGTAATGGTACATAATCTCCCTTTTATAGCCTGTAATTGTATATGATCTCCTTTTATAGCCTGTAATTGTATATGATCTCCATTTATAGCCTGTAATTGTATATGTTCTCCTTTAATAGCCTGTGTACAGACCACCAGACAAGAGAACTCAGCAGTTACAGGTGGATGACCTTTTGGAGGAGATTTCTAAAGAAGTGGAACTAGAAAGTCACTTACCTAACAACATCACAGAGCTAGAGAACAGACTGACCAACCTCAAAGGAGGAAGAGGTAAGTCTAATACCCACAGAACTAGAGAACAGACTGACCGACCTCAAAGGGAGAAAAGGTAAGTCTAATATCCTCACAGAACTAGAGAACAGACTGACCAACCTCAAAGAAGGAAAAGGTGTAAGTCCAACAATCTCACAGAACTAGAGAACAGACTGACCAACCTCAAAGGGAAAAAAGGTAAGTCCAACAACATCACAGAACTAGAGAACAGACTGACCAACCTCAAAGGAGGAAAAGGTAAGTCCAACAACCTCACAGAACTAGAGAACAGACTGACCAACCTCAAAGGAGGAAAAGGTAAGTCTAATATCCTCACAGAACTAGAGAACAGACTGACCAACCTCAAAGGAGGAAAAGGTAAGTCCAACAACCTCACAGAACTAGAGAACAGACTGACCAACCTCAAAGAGGGAAAAGGTAAGTCTAATATCCTCACAGAACTAGAGAACAGACTGACCAACCTCAAAGGAGGAAAAGGTGTAAGTCCAACAATCTCACAGAACTAGAGAACAGACTGACCAACCTCAAAGGGAAAAAAGGTAAGTCCAACAACATCACAGAACTAGAGAACAGACTGACCAACCTCAAAGGGAAAAAAGGTAAGTCCAACAACATCACAGAACTAGAGAACAGACTGACCAACCTCAAAGGAGGAAAAGGTAAGTCTAATATCCTCACAGAACTAGAGAACAGACTGACCAACCTCAAAGGAGGAAAAGGTTAGTCTAATAACCTCACAGAACTAGAGAACAGACTGACCAACCTCAAAGGAGGAGAGGTAAGTCTAATATCCTCACAGAACTAGAGAACAGACTGACCAACCTCAAAGGGGGAAAAGGTAAGTCCAACAACCTCACAGAACTAGAGAACAGACTGACCTACCTCAAAAAAGGGGGGAGGGGGTAAGTCTAAAAACTTCACAGAACTAGTAAACAGACTAAACATCTTCAAAGGGTGAGTAAAGTAAGTCATTCACATTAGTTCACTTGAAGTAAACTGGTTCACAGCAAAGGGAGATTAGGACATTTAGAATGTGGTATCTGTATAAAAGCTCTTGTCAGTAATAAATAGTGTATTGGTAACCAACCTAACCTCCTAGCCTCTTATTGATGATCTATACATTAAACAGCATTATCACAATATTCACTTTAATTTCTAATGTTAATATGATCTGGGTGATATTTCAAAAAGGGTTCCTTAAAAGATTGTTTAAGACTGATAGTATATTAAAAGAGTGGACCACAGTCCAAACATGTCATAAAGAAACTACTGATAATGCAAGTCTAGAGGTAGAAAAAAGTTACTTTGATATGGTTGGAAAAAAGGTATGAAAATACAAACTAGATATAGAGATACATAGAATTTAATATTAGAGAATGTTTAGATGGTTAAGTATGACTCACTGACCAGTAGACTTACTTGATAGAAAGCAAAATTTAACAGTATTGATATTCATTAATGAAGGTGAAAATTCCAGCCAGAATCCTGACAAAGATGAAAATGATCTGAATCGTGGGGAAGCCAAAGATACGAAGCCATACGTAAGGAACATACCAAGTGAGGAGGGTAAGAAATCTAATGAGGAGGGGGGAGAGATCAGCGCCGAGGAAATCAATAAGATCATGGAGGAGACATCAAAGGAATGTGAGATGGAGGCAAGGAAGGCCCTGAAGGATCTAGAGAAAGACAAGGACATCATGAAACGACTGCAGGAAATCAAAAGTCGACGCAATGAGGACGTAAACAAGCAAGGTATGATAAGTCACACAGTCATCTAAATAAGAAATGACTCTTAGATACCTTGAGTCTTTGTCTATCACAAGTAAATGTAAACTCCAGTTCTACTGAACCATTAGTGCTGTTACATGTATTACAGTCACATGCAGCATGAAATAATCATATTATTTTTGGATATAAATCAAGAATTGCTCAGTGTGAAAATTTACCATGAAAACTTAGAAGTATCACTTTCCTGATTGACCTTGTCAATTTCAGGAGAAAGCTCAGAGACAGAAGATCCTAACAAACCAGCAGAAAATTCTGACACTGACAATGAAGACCAGCAGGCTAGTGATGTCATCAAACAGGTGATCATATAATGATATTTATAAAGGACAGCATTGCTAGTGAATTTTTTGAGAGGACAGGACTGCAGCATATATTTAAAGTCCTACTCTCAGTTTACAGTATGCAGCACTGTTTTTAGATAGAAGAAGATAGAAACTAGTATTTTGTATATGTACTGTATACAGAGAAATTTTCGCCCCCATTTTATTTTTGCCCCTTACACCCTACTCACAGGTGGGCAAATTTAAAAGGGGCAAATTCAAAGAAGACAAAATAATTTTGAGTGGGCGAATTAAAAACGGGGCAAAATTATTTGCAAGTGTGAAAGGGCGAAAATAACATGGGGTGAAAATAACCCTTTATACAGTTTTTATCTGTGTTTATAGTAGCTTATTTATTATCAGATCATGGAGGAAGACAAGTTGGATGAAGCAGCAGCTAAAGATGGAATCTCAATAAATCAGAACAGCAAAGTGAAGAAAGCTCCAAAACAAGAGAAGGTATGCTAATGTTATAAACAACTTACAGAATTACAGAATAAATAAGCTATAGAAAGTCAAAAACAAGAGCAGATAATCTGATGTAATAAACAAGCAATTTTCAAATAAAAAAAAGATCACTTTTTGTAAAGACAAATATTCTATATAGTCCCAAAAGTACATGAAGTATTAATTTATTAAGCAGCACTTCTACTTGCAAAATAAAGAAAAGATTGGGTAAGACCCCTTTTTGGTCCCTATTAAGTATGTCTCCTAGTATGATGCAACAGTATGTCATTAAAAACCTTCTGTCATCCTGTTACAAAATGAGGTATTAAAGGTTTTGGGATAATCAAAGATCAAAGGAAGGAAGAGAATTATGCAAGAATTTTTTTCTAATTCATGTATATATAATGCAAAAGTACTTTCATAGTTTTTAATGGTCAGGTAGACTTTAAAATAAAAGATAAATAAAAATATTATAAAAATACCATATATTTGAACACCATACACATGAAATGTTCTTCAAAACCAAGGGAGGCCATTATTAGTGGGAATTAGATGGGTTTAGTAGATAGTGCTCGAGCAATAGTGTTTTGTTTAGTTTGTATGGAGATAGTGGCAAATGGGGGCAAGTACAAGCAAGTAAATAGGTCCACTTTGAGATTTGTTACTTAGTAGTAGAGTAATTCCTGATCATTCTCTTTCTCTTGTTTTGGGGCCACATAGCTTAATATATCAGTTTATTTTGTTTTATTTTATACATCTGTGGATCAATTATACCAAGAGACTGTAAAGGCTATTAGGCCTCTTGCTTATTTGTTATTTTCCAAAAAAAAAAAAAAAAAAAAAAATGGGGAGGGCTCCATTATTACAGATAATGATTTATGGGATAAGCCTTGTTTATCAAAAATATATATATGAATGAGCTAAACATTTTTTTTTCCCAGCATTACAAGATAGATGTATGAAACAATTCAAGAAAGGTTTTCTAAATTTTGGTATTTCTTAAATATACTACTTACTATTAAACCTTTATATTATAGGAAGAGGATGACGATGATGAACTCCCATACTGCTGTATTTGTACAGAGGACGCAACAATCCGTTGTCATGGCTGTGACCTTGACCTCTATTGCAACCGATGTTGGAAGTAAGATTCATCAAAATTCACTACAGCTAATCTGCAGGAAACAAAATTTTATCAAAATTTATCTACCACATGATGTCTTAAATTAAGACATTAACAAACTGTTAAATTAAGAATTCAAATTAACAAACTGTTAAAATAAGAAATTAACAAACTCAATTTTTTCTTTCTTTAGGGAGAGCCATATAGATTTTCAGATGGAGGACCATGTCACGTCTAAATATATAAAACCCAAGGGCTGGACGTAGTCATGTGATATCTTATTATGTCCAAGTGGACATTATGTGATGTCAGATTTTTACTGTAACAAATTTGTTTAACTGTGTTGTATTGAAAGCATTGAACATGACAGATATTAGTGTGCTAAGCTATTTATATATATATCCAAGTGCTAAATGATACTCGATTAATCTGGTTTTAGGAATTAAGTCACATTACTGACTTGTTCCTTAGTATTACAAATATCTGCATGGTAGTGTTTATCTACTTATAATGATTGTCATCCTTAAAATATGTTATAGAGTGAAATGCAAAAAGGTAGATCTAAAAAGGGGGGGGGGGGGCTATGTACTAGGTAAATAGTATTGAAAAACAAAGTGCATGATGACTATACACCCCCTCCTTTAATAAGCTTTCCAGTTAATGTTTGCTTAATCATTGTCTTATTTGTCTTATTTGCTAATGTAAGAATAAGTTTCCTTTGATAAAGATTTTTAAGGTCTGTGAAGCTTTTCTGAAGTATAACTGTATGCAGTATGTTTGTATGTTGAAAATCTTCAACATTCTCAACATTTTCAGTGGAACTACTGACTGGATAGCTAAATGTGATATTTTCTCAGTTAAGCAGGAGTCAAGGTACTTTAGTTTGTTCATATGAAATGTGTCCCTTTGTAAATGGGATATGATTTTAAAAAGAAAAAAAAATATTTAAAAAAATTTAATATTATTTGGGTCAGAATTTACAAAACTTGTATGGTATCTTTAACATATGTGATGAATTATTTAGGTTTGTCCTCTAACAGGATGAGAACATATTGAGAATCCATCAATCACACACACATTTCATGTAAAATCTTGTCATTTAAAAATTCTTTGAAGAACAGCAAAGAATACAGAATGTGCAAATTAAAATGCAGTCGCCCTTCTTTTGATCTTTGTGTAAGTAATTAGGTCAGTCATAAAACGTCCAGAGGCTAAAATAGTTCACAGTTTTACTTTGAGAAAATCTAGTTTAAAAATCTTACAAGCCTCAAGGCTTCATGTTAGGTTTCTATAATTATCACATCAATTAAAAAGCCTGTAGGTTATGAAATCTAAATCGAATTTTCAAATCTTGGAATGGGATAAGTTGAGCAATTGTAGACATACAAAGTTTATAAATATAAAATGTGAAAGGTAAACACGAGGACCTTTTTTGTGTATTTTTGTTGTCAAAGTTCACTAATGTGTGTCAATGTGGACATGATTTGGTATAAAGACAATAAACTGAACAAAATTTCAAATTAGTTTATCTTGAATAATTATTGAGAACAAAATTTTCATCATGAGTTTGAATATGACCCCCAAAAAATGTCCAATTTTTAAACATTTATATTTGTTAAATAAAAATCACAATATTCAAAATCTAATTTTTGACTTGGATCTGTTCTCATTTCATGGTTTTAGGAGTTGATTAATAATGGTCTGATCATCAATATTGCTATTAATTCAGAAGAATGAGAATGTATTTAGAAACATGGAATCCATTATATATTTTGTTAATTATATTTTTAAGCAGACTTTCTTCCATTTAGAAATATTGTTATAAAATTAGATATGTATTTATTTAATAAACTTATTATTATGTGGATTCAGTTATATTTAAGTTTTGCCTCTGTTTTTTGGTAGAAATACTAGCAATCATATTTAGTTAGTAAAATTTGGGTGTTATACCATATCTTGTTTGAATTCTGAACTTTTTTTTTGTGAATTTATTATGTAGGGTATATGACTATAAAAAATTGACTAGAGAGGAAGAATTTTAAAAATATAAAGCTATAGCTAAATAGTTAAAACAAGAATATCTTTGACCTCTAATTATATTATGCTTGTCCAGAGGTGGGGTGAAAGTAATAAGGTGTGTTAAAAATGTAATTATAAGGAGTTAAGTCCCTTTTTTATGTGTAGATACAGTATATGAGTTGACATCGGAGCATATGTGATAATTCTTGCATAAGTGGCTTCTCTGCTTAAAATGAACTCTTTATGTAAAGATTTGAATTAATGCTCTCAAAATTTAGCATAAAATATGTACAGTGTACCTCATCAACATATTAGCATTTAATTAATTTAATTAAAATTTAATAGAAATTTAATTCTAAATAAGCCATTTCAAGTGAAGATTGATGATATATATATATTTTAGAAAGTTCTTGAATTGGCAAATAAGAGAAGCAGCACAAAAGGTGCAAAAATATGAATGAAGTCTGTTTAAAATATGTGCACGCTCCTATGTTATCTATATTACTGATGCACACCAAAAATATGCATTCAACAAATTATTCCTGAAGTATTTACAATTAAAGAAAAGTCATGATAAGTAAATAGTATACCTGTCTAGTCTTTGAGTGTCAGTGTCAATAAATGCTGGTTATGGTGCTTCCATTTTCTAATGCTCTGAGTCTTCAGAGTCCAGATATACGACCTTAATGTTGACTCCTGTAGTGGGAAGGTCATGTTAAGTGTCAATCACAACTCCTGAGGTTTTTCATACAAGGTATTCAGAGCATGCAGGAAAGATTCAAAAAAAGGCTGCAATTGCCATTACAAAAATGCTTAATAAACTGCAGAACAGTCCACTGAGCAGTCTGCTTACATTCACTGAGCAGTCTGCTTACATTCCTTAAACAATTGTTTAATCCTTCTCTAAAAAGGACTTGGAAAAATTAAATGTGTTAAACTGAGCTTGATACTTTTAAAATTACAGGGGGCAAATGAGCCACCCCTCCCCCCCCCCCCAAAAAAAAAAACTCGATTCTTTTCAGTGACAAGACTGTATGTAAATTTTATTGAAATGGTATAATAAAAAGTATTATTATACCTCTACTGATATAAAATAAATACCATAAACCTGTCTATTTCCCTGAGAATGCACTACTTCTACTATATTTCCATGTTTGTATTTGATAAGCTCACAGCAGATTTGTTCAAAATAAAATTAGCATTCCTTTGTTCAGATTTTTGGATCCAAATCATTTCTGTGAAAGTATATGATCTGTTCAGATATCATCATAGTTCAATGTTCTTACATATGATCTGTGTATTTATAAATTTATTTTATTATTTTTATTTTTTTTTTTTTTGGTTTGTTTGTTTATTTTTTTAATTTTACTTTTTATATCTTTATCTTTTTTTGGTAAAGAAATATCAGAATGTATTTCAGAGACATTATGTGTTATAGTCCTTGTAAATGCAAATGGTACCTTACATCTCTAGAATACACTATATTTCACGCATCATGACCGAAGTGAACTTGAAAATTGACTATATATCATGACCCGAAAGCTCGACCAATGAAAATACCGAAAACAATGAGCGTAAAAAATCAACCAATCACATTACAGCCCGCCAAGGTAGTATCGCGTCCTTTCGTTCTAACACAGGAAGAAGGGGAGATTTTGGAGTAAGTGTATATTTTACGTTTATTTACAAAATTTTAAATGAAATTGTCTTAATTAACACACAAGACTAATTTATGAACGTGCACATAAGAAAAATATTTATACTTGAATGATCGTCATAAATTCAGTTTGCTTAAATTTTGAAAGCGTGACGTGGGGATTCCACTTTCTCTTTGTCTGTTTACATTATACATATGACGCCATCGGCATGTTTACAACAGGCAATGATTTAGTTTCTTTTTAACAAGAAAACGCTAATGTAAATGTGAATACATGTATATAAATATCATTGCATAGTTTACCATGCATAACTTCTTTCGCATCGACTTGGTTAATGCTATTAATAATGGCAGAATTAGAATGGTTCCTAGACTTGCTGTATATTTAACGTTGCTCATGAACCAATACATCATTATGTAACGCTGCCACGCATAAGCTTATATTTGTTCGAGTGTTTCTGTTTAATTTATTTATATCTTATTAACTGACCTATTTAAAACACCCCTGATTTTTCGACTTATTGTATCAAGTTCCAAATGTTCGTACGTTAGTATAATATCTGTACACGACCGTAATGTTGATTGTTGGTTGGGCTTTAAATTTAGAGTATCATTATGTGGCATAATTCTATAGGCTTAACTAAGCAAAGAAAAGGCTTTCAAGGCTTGATAAGGCCCATGCAGTATTAACGGTTAATGTGATTGTTAGCGTGTTTTAAATGGATCTGTCAAAATTATAAATAAACTAGACATATATCTATATGTTGTTTTACAGTACAATCTGTGTCCCAACCCAACACAAGGATGGCATCACCAAGAAGAGTAAGTATTAGTATTTATTGTTGATTCTATTTTTAGAAAGGGGGTTTCCTTTCAATATCTTGGTCACATGGGTGTTATGTATGTGTTTAAAGTTCTTTTGCATAATATAACATGTGCATATGCATGTGCATTGAACCCAGGTTATTTTATTATGAAGTAGTGTTTGAGAAAGTGCTCTGAATTGTAGAATTTTTCAGGTAAATATGTTTATATTAAGTTTATAGGCATTGTGCATTTATCTCACAAAGTGATTTGTTGGAAAAAATCATACATTTAGCAGTGCACTTCTGGCTTGATCAAAAAGTTGTGTGGTTAATGAAAGACAATAAGAACATATCCCAATTTCAAATGTGTTGGGACATTCAAAGTAATGAGATGCATTACACACCTTAGGTGTGTGTTAATCATGGAAGCTTAAAATCATTTTGCAGTCACAGTGATCTTTATATTGATGAAATGATCATCAAGGCACAAGTTTTTGGAATACAAAAGTGTCAACTGTGTCATTGTATTTTATTGTGTTCTAACAGGGTAAGAGAACTTCATCTAAATCTTCATCAAGGAGTAGATCAAGAAGTCGGTCTCGAAGTCGGGGAAGAAAAGTCCCGAAGTCACCACCATCCACGAGAAAGACCCGATCCCCTGCACGTTCTAAGGCTGACTCCCCAGGAAGATCTAAGGTAGCCACGCCAACTCGAGGAAAAGCTGAGTCCCCAGCCAGAAGCAGGAGGAGGTCAGTGGAGCGAGCTGTGACCCCCACCAGAAGGTCAGCCAGACTGGAAAACAAGGTTTGTCCAGAATGACCATAATAAACTTACAATTACATAGACCATTAAAGTTCTATTAGAGTTAATAAACGGATGTAATCTTTGTGACAAGTATTGAAAGTTAGTTTACAAAAGAGGTGATGTTACAGACAATGAAGATGTGCAAATAGTGTTAAATCTAAAACAAACTAGCATGGCGCAGCGCCATGCCCTTTTCTCTCGGCGCCATGCCCTTTTTTCCTTGCAAAAATAAATAAATATGCCTAGCAGAGGCAAGATGGACTAGCGGCTTTGTTTATTCAGTGCATGCTGATTAGCCCCTTTGTTTATTTAATGCACACAAAGGTGTGAATTCAGGACAGGTAGCATGCCTCAGGCTGTCAGGGTATAAGAGATAACACGAGAAAATATCATTTGATTGCATTGATTATGCAAGAATTAGCCCAATGTCAAAGATAGATTAATTTGTAAATTAAAATGTTGCACATTTTAAAATCAGGATCGTTTTTTTTTTTAATTGAAAGTAGAAAAAACGGAGTTGATGAAGAAATGTGAAAAATAAAACTGCTGATGAATTAAGTCAACTTACAATGTACAGTACCAAAAACTGAATATTATGTGTGAAATGGGCTAGGAAACAACAAAGTATAATGTTAGTTTCTTTCATTTCAATGTTCAATGATTTTGTGTTCTAACTTTTTGAGTTGACACCCAGAGGTTCCATGTTTCTAAGCCAGAAAAAAAATTTAACCAATTTATATATTATTTCAAGTTCAATTTTTTGGTATGATATCAGTTTTTACTTGATTTTTTTGGTAGATTATTTTCAAAATACCGTATATACTCGCCTATAAGTCGGTCCGCCTATAAGTCGGTTGTATTTTTTAAGCTTACATTAAAGGGATTGACCCGCTATTATACCAATATTTTCATAACTCGCCTATAAGTCGGACAGGGGTTTTCGGACCAAAGTTTAACTCCCAAAAAACCGACTTATAGGCGAGTATATACGGTAAAGAAAATGCCCTCTTAATTTATTATCCAAGTAGCCCCCCCCCCCTTTGCAATTTTGTTCTGTTATTACCTCATACACAAATAACAATATTAAAGCAAGGAAAAAAAATCATACCCCAAACTAAAATAATTCTTGAGCAAGTGACAAAAATATTCACACCTATTACTTTTTAAGCATAACCTTGATAACCATACTAATTTCTTGATTAAAAAAATTGAATTTAAATTTTGGCAGTAATTGTCCTCTCAGTGTGTATTAAATGAATTAAACTGACAGATTTATAAATTTTTCTTTTAGATACTTGTATAACTAAAGATTTCAGTATTAAATGATAATTTGAGGAATAGACATGATAAAGAAAATATTTATAATTTCAAAGACGTTAAAAAAGTGCCCTCATGAAAACTTGTCGCGGCGTAAAGTGCCCTTTTGATTATTGGATTACCATGCCCTTTTTAGGGTCTGGATTTAACACTAGCAAAGAACAAGTCTCAATAAGGCTTATCTGTGGTCCCTGGTTACTCGTCAAATTTTGAACATTTATTAAAATTTTTAAAAATTAAATTTTATTATTAACTAATGTCTTTATTATTTGAATTATCGTCTAAAAACATCAAACAATAGATATAGGTAGCATACGAAGCTGCGCGTTGAAGGTAGGGTCCTTTGATTTTCATGAATATCAAAAGAAATCAGTGACAGGTACACACTTCAAAGTTTTCGTAAACACAGAGCACAGGTTTGTTCAGAGTCGAGTATGAAATATAATGTGTATATTATATGTGTAAAGGTTCAGTGAAAATATCTTTGTTGAACAACCTTGTGCTCTATGTTTTCTAATTAAAAGTATTGTGATTTTGAATCTCTTCGCTGCCTTCATTTACATGCGATTAACCTCTTATGACCTGTTTAGAATCATAACAAGCCACGTGGATTTGTATCGTTATGGGTAAATGTCCCCCAGTAAACGTGCTTGTTCTCAGTTGAAACGTACTCAGTTTTATATCGGTCAGCATGGACTTGTTTGATTCTTCTTGTTATAGCTTTTATATTGCCAAAGTTTTGTAAACAGAAAATTGTATTTGTAGTTGATTGTAAATTTTGAACATATAATTCGTCTTTGAAAGAAAGATACAATATCAACAGTGATTCATTTTGGTGTGCGTCCTGGGTAAATTACACAAAAATTTTGCCCAGGACGCATTATTTCAATAAATGTGCATCCCAATGGACGCAATAAATTTATAGAAGGACATGTACTATTTTAAATTATTTCGGTATAATCTGATTCAAAACTTGACCGATTGCATCATATCCTCGTGCTAAGAGATATGCATGAGCGATTTTAACGGTATAAGGTTGCCAACAACAGGTCAGATTTCACAACTGCAGTTTAAAGCAATTATCAGAACATATTTGATAGATATAGATAGCATAGTTCGATTATCACTGATTATGTTTATACCGTGGAACGTTTCTGAAGCGAATATTATACCTTTGTATTTAATCTTTAACCTGTATCCAGGGTTCTCACTAGGATTTTGCTAACTTGAGTCCCCGGACTCAAGGTTTCTGAGAAGGTTGCGTCCCAGCTAAATTTGATGCGTCCCAGAAAAATTATGTTGAGTCCCAACTAAATTATTGCAGTATCCTTCCATCCAAACATCAATGAAAATCTTTATCATTTTATCAGTTTGATTACGCAGTATTAACATATTCAAGTATATAAACTGGTAATGCATTCAAGCTATATTCTAAAATACACGCGTAATCAATTGCCATAAAAATAACTTGGTGTTTATAAAGCTAAAATTAACTGTTGCACAATCAACTAGTACCCAGAAGTTGATTGTATACAATCACAGGTGTCATGTGCAATGAGGCGTAACTAATCCTGTCGGTCGTCTGCACTGGGTGAAATTCACGAGATAATCAAGCCGCATTGTGTATACAAGCAGTAATTATGGTTTCTACATATAGATAACACTTAAGATTCAAAAGTGTTTTTAAAAAAAGCTGCAGTGTGTTTACAGCTGTCGGAGTTTGGCATGCGACACTATTATGACTATGGACTAATAAACATGAAATATCTTATGATCAATCCCTGTTTTAAAAAAAGAGATTTAAGTAATCATAAGAAAAGTTGTTTCTTGGATAAACTTTATGATAGTTACAGGAAGGTTTCGATTAAATATTTCTTTGACAAATCCTAACATCTAAATTCCCCGTTTTCGAAATCACCCGAATTTTCTCGCTAACGAGGACGCGTCCGATCATGAGTCCGCGGACGCATCGTTTTTAAGAACCTTGCGTCCCAAGTAATTTTGCTGCGTCTAGGACGCAGATTCTTGCGTTAATGAGAACCCTGTGTATCATTGTTTTTTTCTTTTTTCGTTTTTTCCTTACAAGCTTAGAAGTATGAAATTTAATCATTTTTATTTCTGACTATTTCTCATTTCTTCTTAAACTTTTTTTTTTTTAATTCTGCTTCTGTGCATTTTATGACTGATACAATGTGTGAAATCGTATTTTTATGTACGATCTAAAAATAGAACCAAAGTGCACAGTGGACAATATATTAATTTTATGACACAAAATCATGTACTATTATTTGGACAATTGATAGTAAAAGTATAATTCACTCTCAGCTACAATAAAACATTTGCACTTTCGTTCAATACCCTTTATTTCACCAGAATTTCCTCTGTAACATCTAATATATGGTACCCTTGGATTTGGACGCATTGATTTTGGCACGGGACTCATTGTTGTCATTAAGAGGGGTCCTTTGGACCCATGATAACCATTTTAAAAATGAATCACTGCATCAAGATATTCTTTTTATAGTCCATCTAATCTAAATGTCTCCACCCATTTACATGTAATAGAGAAACAGTAGTCTGATCGGGGGAAAATGTTCCGGCATTTTTTAGTGTGATAGGTGTTAAAAATTGGCTTGTATTTTTTGATATGTTTAATTATTCATTATAAATACACAATGTTTTAATTAGAAATACGTCATTATACACAATGAAAACAAACAAAATACCGTATGCTAAACCAAGGGTGTAAAAAGGGACCACACTACTATACTTATAAGTAGAATACTCCTTTGTCCCATTGGCTTTCAGTGGGATTTTAATATTTCTGAAGTGAAATGTATATTTTTTTATATGGATATTTTTGAGAGGTGATTACTCTGATGTGGTCCCTGATATAGTCATCTAATATCTCTCTGGAAATTTTTGCCCACCCCCTACACATTTTATTTTGGTTCTGTGTCACTTGTGACAGTTGGCAAAATTGAAATGAGGGGCACTCAATGAAGACAGAGTTATTCCTTTAACACAACTCTGCCTGGGCCACTTTAAAAAAAAATGGGATTAAAATAGTTTGCAGGTGTGTTAGGGCAAAAATAACAAGGGGAGATACAAACCTGTATTGAATTCTTTTGTGGAAAAAAAATGAGCTGAAAGTTTTGGTGAATTGTGAGATGCATTAATTTTTTTTTTTAAATATTGAATATTCCTAATTTTTAGACAAAGGATCCAGAGAAGAGAGTGCCAGTTGAGATGCCTTCTATGGACGCACCTAGGAGAGTTCCTAAGACAACTCACCGCGAGTTTGGGGGAGCCATTGGAGCATTGTTTATGCTGATTCTATTGCCTGCCACAGTATACGGACTCAATCTAATGTGTGTCAAGGTAACAAGCATTTACTCTGATAAACTACTTAGGGGAAACAATCTGTTTTAAAATAATAGCATTAAGGTGTAACACTTGATTCGAGAAAAAAGGGTATAATTGAGATAATATATTTTGAAAAAATAATTTCCAGAAAAGTTGTAAGCCACGTATGATCAAGATTCCCACTGATCTAAAGTTATACTTTGACTGGGAAGCGGCAGCGATTTACTTGGGGTGGTTTGTCTTCCAATCTGTTATTTACCTGCTGCCTATTGGACGAATGATCAAAGGTCAGCCACTGAGGTCAGGGGGTCAACTAACCTACAGATGTAATGGTGAGTTGTGACACATTATCCTCATGTATTAATTCTACAATATGAAATAATCTCATAAATAAAAAGAGTTATGTTTCCTGTTGAAACTAAGTCACAGAAAATATAAGTGATTTATAAGTGAAATTTTAGAAATGCAGGGTATAAAAGATGTTAACACTTGGCGTATGAATTACATTTGTTGTGATTACTTTTCAGGTTTCTTTGCCCTTCTGATCAGTTTAGCAGCGTTTGGTGCTGCTGTTTACTTAGGATATCCAGTACAGAAAGTACATGACAAATTTTTGGCCTTGATCACCACAGGGACGATTTTCTCCTTTGTGATGAGTGTTCTGTTGTACATCAAAGCCCGGCGTGGTCCCAACAGCAAACTCGCCCCCGGGGGAAACACTGGTAAAAATTCACTGTTCTTGATTGAATATGGAGAGAATGAGCAATCAGAATTCCACATTGAAATATTTAAATATTTTATCCAATGTAGTTATGGTTTGATATAAATCAATTGTATAAAATCCTCTTACTGTATTATCAAGGTTTTATACATGAGTTTCTCCGAGTCTCACTTAAGCAACTCATAATATTTATCCAGATTAAGTAAGGACATCTAAAACAATTCTGAATTCCAAGCAATTCTATATTATAATTGTAGAAAAGTAAGGTATAACATAAGATGTTAACAGAATTTTTTGACACCGTATAAGAAATTTTGTGAGGATTCAATTTTGGCATTTATAGTGAGAGTGTTGACATTGCTAAAATTAAGTATCGCTAACAATTCATTCTGTATTGGAGTAAAGCGTTATGTGTCTAGGCATCATAAAACCGCTAAAATTACTTCTTGTTAAAAAATTTTACCAATTTTTAAGGACAAATTGCTAAATTTGTCTCTCGCTGAAAAATCCACTTATACAAGGTATTTGGAAGTAGCATTCTTAATCTTTCAGGAAACATTCTTTATGACTTCTTCATTGGACACGAGCTCAACCCTAGGATTGGTAACTTTGACCTGAAGTTTTTCTGTGAGCTCCGCCCTGGCTTGATTGGTTGGTTGATGATTAACCTGGTTTTCCTGACCGAGGCATACCGTCAGTCTGGTTCCCTACCCCCAGCCCTCACCATGGTGGTGGCATTCCAGGGTCTTTATGTGGCAGATGCTCTCTGGTTTGAGGTATGCTTGCATAGGTGTACAGATCAAGGGAATATTTACATCACTGCATCAGTTAATGTACTTTTGAGCAATATTGTTAGGTAAAAATTTACATATACAGCACTGAACTAAAAAAGATACTGATACTATTTATTTATTTATACTATATAAGATACTATTTTCAAAAGTAGAACAAGAATTTATCTTTTTCTAATATGCTTGGAAAGAGAGAAGTTGCTGCTTTTTCATATGAATGTGTAAACAGAAATCTTTTATTGTAGGATGCCATCCTGACTACAATGGACATCATTACAGATGGCTTTGGATTTATGCTGGTGTTTGGGGACTTGGTCTGGGTACCATTTCTTTACTGTCTACAAACCCGCTTCCTGGCAGAGCATGGGGAATCCCTACCCTGGTACTGTCTGGCTGGCATCGCAGTCCTAAATTGTAAGTGTTTTTGCATTCTTGGGCCTCTTGTAATTGATTCAGGTACAGGGGATATCTTATGAAGGATGTACGTGGTGGGGGGTAAATCAGTCTAGAAATAGTTGGACCCATGCCAGATTGATAGATAGGACATTTTTTCCCCAATATCTAATAATTTCCAAATTTGCTCAGATAGTGATGATAGAGTATACAGAAGAAAACAAAAAATGAAAGTCTTTTGGTAATTTTCCATTCTTTAGGACATGACCCGAAAAGCCCAGATACAGCCTTGGGGGGTTAGCAGTAATACTGATGCATGTTTGATGCAACTTTTTATATTTTATGCATTTTCTCCCCGAACATTTAGGAGAAAATTCATTTTATGTCATTTGTTTGTTGTTCGTTTGTTTAACTAAACTTTGAACTTCTATTACAATGGTTGATATAATTTGTATTTTAGTTGTTGGATACGCAATATTCAGAGGCAGCAACTCTCAGAAAAATGAATTCAGAAAGAATCCCTACAACCCTGCATTAGCTCGTAAGTATTAATGTTTTAGGAATTTCAAGGTAAAATGTATTCAAAATGTGTAAAATGATCCATATATTAGTTAACAAAATTTACTTTTGCAGATTTGGAGACAATCCCTACATCAACAGGAAAGAAGCTCTTGGTGTCTGGCTGGTGGGGACTCTGTAGAAAGCCAAATTATTTAGGAGACATTCTTATGGCCCTGTCTTGGTCATTAGCATGTGGTTAGTATTGTTACAGTTCTTTACAGATTATAAGCGGGGAATTTTTCCCCTCAATTTAAGATTTTATAAGAAAGTAAAACAACATCTGTGTTTTAATATTACAGGTTCCAGCACACCCTTGCCGTATTTCTACCCAGTGTATTTCACGATCCTGTTGGTTCACAGAGAAATGCGAGACTCGGAGAGCTGTGCCAAGAAGTACAAGGCTAGCTGGGACCGCTACTGTGAGCGAGTCAAATACAGGATCTGTCCTCTTGTCTACTGAAAGAATGTTCTCGGTGTTGAAAATTTAAGTTTTAATGCATTGGACTTGTTTTATTTCATTTCATTTAGGGACAGTACATTTTACAGAAATATCGTTTTTATTAAAAAGTACTTGTGTATGATTTTAATGTCAGAAAAGTTTTATGAGGGGGAAAAACAGCAGTATTTAAAAATTTTTTTTCAACTTTTTATGATTAGGGGCAATATGACATTTTTCTCAGGGCTGTATAAGTATTGGGTTATCTGTACTTAAGTTGCCATGGGTGTTCATGTATGAGTGTCATACGTAAAACATTTTTATTTATTCATCCCATTTCTGTAGCAGAAATGATATAGTAAACATTTAGTTTTCAAAATTATGTGCAATTTCATTTTCATGTCCCATATATTCTGTAAATATTGTAAATATTTGTACATAAATGTGTGTGCTAAAAGAAATTGTTTTTAAATGTTAATGTATATGCTATGTGGCCTACATTTCCAATTTTTATCATGAAACACCAGGAATTTTGAGTTATGAATTCTTTATTATTTTTGCTGAAATTTAGTAGAAAATATTGACAAAAAATGTGTATGCTCTAAAGATATTCCTTTTTAAGCAGTCGTACATCTGAATGAAACAAAAACCTATGCTCCAAGTAATGTTAATAAGAAGTAAATCCTTCCAAAACTTTAAAAATTACTATTGTAAAGTGTCAAAGATTAAAAAATTTAAAGCTAATTATATTTGTGTTTTAATAATTGCTGAAATGAAAAGGAGGGACAGGGATTCAGTTTGCCTCCTTCAAATCCTATTAACTTCCTAACCCATTTACTTTTTAGGTTACAGGGGTCAGTCATTCTTTCTTTTCCTGAAATATCGATAAATTTCTGAAGATGTGTCCTGGGCATGGATTAGGTCAGGTCTTAAGACCATAACAGAGAACAGAGAGTCAAAATTTTTAATTGATATAACATTTTGAAAATAAAACAATTTCTTTTATAAAAGCATAGGTAATCAAAGATTACTAAGCTCAACTCCACGAATGATATCTTTCAGTAATTAGCAAATCTCGGAAATATTTTTTACTAATTAGTATGCATCCCAAGATCAATATCCATGCAAGTTTGGTTTAAGGACATATGCAATGTAGTTTGAACTTTATTGTCTTTTTCCCTGGAGTTGAAGAGTTCCAAAACTTGAAGGAACTGTGTGCTACATTTTAAGGTCTATATATGCTGTTGTACACTTCTTCTAAAACAATACTGGATAACCAAAACATCTAGAATATATGTTTAATAATTTTTGTATATTTTTCTTTGAATTACACAAGAATTTTCATCAATTAATATGTTTTCAAAACCCCTGGTAATGCATGCTGATTTTTTGTCTACAAACATCTGATGGCACTATAATCTTAAATTAAGAATATCTTGAAAAATTATCAGTAGGTAAGGTACGTTGCGTATGTAGCACTTGTAGGTACTTGGGAATGGATCTGCTCCAAAAACTTACTTGTTCACTAATGAGGAAAATGTAGGTCAGTTCCAACATCCGAAGCAAGACTGGAAATATCCATCCTTAAAAGCATCAGCATGCAAGCTTAGTCATAAAAGGCCATATAATTATAGAGCTACTCCAAAAAACCTTATCCTGTTCACTCATCTGGAAAATATAGGTCAAATTTAACATCCAAAGCAAGTCTAGAAGTGTCCATCCCTAGATATTTTGTTAAAGTATGGCTAAAAATTCACTCATGTGGAAAATGTAGATCAGATCCAGCATCTGAAGCATGTCTGGAAGTGTGCATCCCTAGATGCATCATCCATGCAAGTTTGGTCCAGAAAGGGTTTATAGTTACTTGGGAATGGACCTGCTCCATAAACTTTAACCGGGACGCCAGGGGTCTAGCATAAGCCCATCTTGACTTTGATGAGGTGAACTAATGAGTAACTTTTTGGCTCACCAGATCTGAAAGCTCAAGTGAGCTTTTCTGATCACCCATTGTCCGTCCATCCATCAGTCTGTAAGCATTTCACATATTCAACTCTCAAGAACCACTCGGCCAATTTCAACCAAAGTTGGTACAAAGCATCCTTGGGTGAAGGAGAGTTTCGATTATTAAAATGAAGGGCCAAGCCCCCTTCCACAGGGAGATAATCAAGAAAAGGAAAAATAAGGTGGGCTCATTAAAAAATCTCAAGAACTACTGGGCCAGAAAAGCTGAAACTTATGTGGAAGCTTCCCAAGGTAATACATGTAGTGTAGATTCTAAATTGATCAAATCATGACCCCGGGGGTAGGGTGGGGTCACAATAGGGAATCAAGTTTTAGGTTGAAATATATAGGAAAAATCTTCTCGAGAATCACTGGACCAGAAATCTGAAACTTACGTGGTAGCCTCCTGAGGCAGTGTAGATTCTAAACTGTTCAAGTCATGGCCCCCGCAATAGGATGGGGCCACAATAGGGAATCAAAAATTTGCAGTTTATTAAGCGTAATCTGCTCAACCCAGGTTATACAGTATAACTTGGGTAGCTATTTATTTCTTAAAAATCTTGATTGCTTCACTAAATTGGAATTCGTGACCCTTTGGTACGAGATTTCAGGGCCCATTAGGCTGCTAAGTTATGCATGTTTTATGATTCCTTGATTATGAAATGGAAGAAAGGGGATAATGCTACTTACATGTAATTGAAGATTGCCTAGAGTCTGATACAAAGGGAGTTATTTTGACAAGCTTCAGGTCACTGATAGGAAGATATAAGCTTTTTAACAAAGGAACACAAAAAGCTTCTGACTGGTAGAACGAGAAATATAATTGATTTTGTTGATACTTGTATCTGGGTACGGATCGAGCATCAATTTAAGATGGCTTATGTTTCGTAAATTATGAAATCTTGTATGAAATATAAATAGAAAAATGAGACTCTCAAGTGATTGTCATCTATTGTAACGAAGACAGTCTTCTACCTACTAAACATACTTATCCTTTACTTCTGGTGGATTCAATAATGTGAGATTAATGCAACTGTGAAGGTTTCACATAAGGTATACTTTTATGTAACTGAAACATCAAGGTAAATGTGCTATAATTGCCTGACGCCACGTGCGTCAGGCAGTAAAGATTAATTTTTTCGAGATCCGAAACTAAGCGATCATTCTTAATGAACTAGATTTTCTGGAAGCTGATTTACACTGGAATTTGTTACCTGCATTTAAACAAATACAGTTTGCAGAAGAAAGAATCATATTACTGATGCAAAATAATGTTGTGTCTAATTCCTTCAGTCTTTTTGCATTCACATGTTTATTCTTTGCGATTCTTTGTACGGGGATGTCCGTGTAACATTTTTTCTGCGTTTCTAAACTACTGGATCAGTCCATTTGCCTTCTACGAAAGGGGTGACACAATCATTTCGCGCCAAATGTCACATGTAAATTATCTTCGCGCCTTTTTTTGAATGGGTGTGATATAATTTCTATGGAAATAAATAACGTTTATTCTTTTAACCTGATTCTTAAGCTTCAGATTTTTTATTAACAGTAAATTTTATCTCATTTTTAAAAGAACACATTGTATATGGGCAGGCAACACTAAAGCAATGAATTTGCTGATTATTCTTACTATTTATCCCATAAGTGAACTAGTCCAATCATAAACAGTCACACTCCCTCGACCTAGTAAATGGGACATCCCTTCTTGATTCAGTCTGTTTCCCACCTTTTCTCTCAATATTACATTTATTAATAATGTACGTTACAAGATTAGGTTTTTAAAAAAAGCTTAGAAAGTCAGCCAGTAGCATATTATTTCATGCTTTGTGATGAACAAGGATAGTGACAAGAGTAGGTCAGTACCCACAGAGGAATGGGTTTAACTCCCGTAAGGTTCTAAGCAAAGAATCGGCAAAATGAAGAAGACATCATGATCTGTACTAGTTTTTATTTCATATAAAAGCACGTTATTATAATTATGAGAAAGGTCCTGAAATCGATTGAAAAGAAAAACTAAACAATTTTAAAACTGCCAATAAAGATGTATTTTTAAACTCATTTGTAGTACATGTATATGGTAAGACCATCAGCGCGTGAGTTTCGTCCGGGGGGGGGGGGGGGGGTGTATTAGTATTTTGTTTTGCTCTAGCTATAATATGTACAGTCCATTTACTTTGAGTTCTAGAGCAGCATTGAAGCATTTTTGTCTCAAACACTTCAAAAAAAAGCCAGTTGAAACTTCATAATTTACTTTGACGTCGAGAACGACGGAAAACAGACCAGTCTATAAAAAGAGGCCGTCTCATTAATCTATCACTGTTCAGAGAAGCGCGCCCTCTAGTAAGAGAGTACATGTTATATGAATTTCTTTAGAATCATCTAACTATTTTTCCCAAAACTATGTTCTACGCTATCATACTTAGTGTTTCATACCAACGTAACTTGTCAGCCCGTGGGCTAACTAATAAATGATTGAATAATGGCATGTCTTAGATATTCGCTAATCAGTAGTATTTGGTTATGAGATTTGAGAAAGTCAATTGTACATCTTGTGTAATGAAGTATCGCAACTATGTCGCTCCTTGATGACGGAAACGTTTAATACCTCTCTTGCTTATACGTTCCATAGATATTGATTGATTAGTCAGGCAAGCTTTTTGAAAAGCTATTACTTGTTGGGGTTTTATTTTTCACTTTCTTGTTTGTCGAACGGTTGGCAATTCCTACAATCTATCTAAATATTGAAGTTTTTTCGAACTCTCTCAGGGGCCAAATTAAGGGGTCAATATTTTACATTATAGAAATACCTACGGAAGGCATTGAATATGCAGTCATTAGTTGAATTAATGAGAAGTTTGTTTTCTAAAAAAAAAATATTTGGAAATTGTAATGTGTTATTTTTGATAAATCTAAAGAGATCAATAATCCGTCATATAGCCATAAGTGCACCAGATCCTCTCTATCATTCTCTCTCTCTCATCCATCCCTTTATCCCCTCCCCCCTCTCTCTCTCTCTCATATTTCAAGAATGTACTCCATTGTTTTCAGGCACATAGCTGCCTATACGCAAGTACGTACACATCATTTTCAAATTTAAAAAAAAAATCTAGGAGAAAAAAAGAGAGAAGTCTCAGTACCACCCAGCAAATATTTATGCTTTAAATTATTTTTTGTCAATTCAAATTTTATCATATATATCATGTCTATATAATCAATTTTGAAATCTTTTATTAAATCATCGCCAAATCAAAATAAATCATTCATTAATTTGTAATTGTCTTAAAACACATTGATATTTTAAAAATTAAAAGATCTTTGAGATGTTAAATTTCAATTCACATCATAGAATGCTATGATCCATTAGTATATGATTTGAAATACAATATTATTTTTGTTAGCAACATTTATTATACTTGTTGCTGAACATTAAAAATGAGTAGACATACCAATATACATGTATCTGTAAAATACAAAACATGCACAGTAAGTTTCAATGGAAGTAAAAATTTTGCGTTAAAAATAATATTTCCATGTCTTTTATTTTCTAAAGAAAAGCGAAATTGCATGAAAGTCAATTAAATATTTGGTAAAACCCAGCGCTTCCGGGGGCTTCGCCCCCTGAGCCTCTACCAGGACTTCGCCCTGGACCAACTGGGGGACTCATGGCGGCCCCCAGACCCCCTACCGATATCTGCGTACACTTCACTTCCATTCTGGCTTTGCGCTTGGTTTTATAAATTTATAGCCATTCAAAACTGAACAAGAAGCAGTACGTGGTACTATATAACTTTGACAAACCTTCACTCACACATTCACACTCGTGCTCTTTTACAAAATAGAAAAAAGGAATATGATCCAAGCATTTATATACAAACACTATTTCATACTATACAAAATTGGAAGAAATGATTGTATATAATGTAGTTGTATCTAAAATAACATTTTTAGAGGAGAGGGGTGTATTTTAATTTTTGATGATGTAAAAAGAAAAACAGGAGATGGAAATGCCTCATTATTTAAACCAATAATCCACGTAGTTTATATTTAAAGCAATTTTTGCATTTTTGAGAATTTTATTTTGCTGTTAAAATGTGATATTATGATAAATTTGTACGTAATTTAAACCTTTTTGATCAATTAGACATAAATAAAGTATCAAATTGTAAAACAAAAAAAAATGCAATTTTGCTCCAATCAATAGTTCTTCCATCGCAAATATGAACAACAGAAGTTTATAAACATTCTTTTTTCTGTCATTGAAATGGTTAATTACGATTTTGCAACAAAAATTTCTGTCATCAAAGTTGCAGCTCATACTGCTTTAACTGAAATATAAGTTAATTTTTTTGAACACAAGATTGATTCGTGAAATGCAAGTGTTTAAATTTCCCGGTAAATTAAAACCAGGAAGTAAAACATCCCACAGCTAGTAAACACAGGTGTACGTGTTAGGCTGAATGGCCGCCATAGCTGCCTGATATATCAGGTAATATTTTTTAATTTTTCCCCTTCACAAAACATATCCAATTCTTTGTATTATTTACGCATAATTTTGTACATGAAGTGTCGTTTTTGAAGTGGCGTTGGAGGGATGGGGTGGGCAGACATTAAATAAAATACTAACCTACCGTAAATCTTTGACAAACAAAAAGGGTGAAACTGATTTTTTCCAGAGATTTTATTAATATTTTATCATGGAACGATTTAATAGTGGGAGGGAATAACCAACCTTTCAATGAACATTTTTAACAGTGAAAGGTTACGTTTGGAAAAAAAGAATAAAGGGAGAGCTCCCTTCCATACTAATTGTTTTTTTTTTTTTTTAGAATAAAATTACTATATATTAATTTCATAAAACTATGGAAATTCTGTTGGCGTCGGTATCCCCGATCCACACAATAATCAATCTTGTATTGGGTGTGTCCTTTAAATTCTTTACTTTCGATTTATTTATACTCATAAACACTTAACTGAGGGTTTGCCAACAAATGAATTTATAAAGGACATTGTATATTATCATTGAGCAAATGACATTATCAACTGGACTAACCTAGCTGCAATAATGTAGCCCTCTCCAATTTTTTGGGGGTGGGGTGGGGTTGGGGTGGGAGGCTCTCCTGAAAATATCAGATAAAAAAAATCGGAGAGGGCTACATTATTGCAGCTAGGACTAACCCAATGAAACAAGAAGGAGAGAAAAATTCTTCACATCGTTTCAAGTTGTCTAGCTTGTGTTTTAACAGTTCCTCACCGTTAGTTCTTAACAACATTCACATCTCAAAGAGCAAATCACTGCGCAAAATGAAACTAAAATTTATATAAATCTTTTAAATAGATAACTTTGAAACATCAATTATTATATCCTCGGGGATCCTTATTTGTTGAAAACATTTGAAAAAGAGACTTTTTCCCCGAATAATTTGAAGCTAGCTATCATTAAATCCATTTAGTGATGACCAGCGGTATTAATTTAAAAACATCATTTTTTTTTGGGGGGGGGGGGTATGTTTTAATCCATCTAACTTATGAATTTAGGAAAATATTTGAACAGACCCAATAGCAACATGATCAGCACTCAATTCCACTATTTTGTAAAGATATTGTAAAGAGGTGAGCTATTAGGCCTTTACCTTTCTCTTTCTTAGGTAGAGAAGAAAAGAATACATAAAAATCAAAATAATTAGCATTCTTAATAAATAAAGGATATGGCCTTAAATGAGGTAATTGCAATAAGTCAGTTGACATAAATATATCTGCTGACACAATCAGTACATAATGTAGATCTTTATGGTACATGTGTTACAGATTCCCGTCATGGACCCACGTACCAGTGCCCAGGATGTGATGCGATGTGACCTGTGTGAGACTGCTGTGGTACAGATGCACTGTGATACATGTCTTGTCAACCTGTGTACAGCTTGTGTAGGAAAACATATGATCTCTGATGAATCCAAGGACCACAAAGTCGTCAAATTTCAGTCCAGGAAATCTACCCCCCTATGCCCTGGATGTACAACTCATAGCAAAGAACGATGTGAAATGTACTGTAATCAGTGTGACATTCCTGTCTGTGTTTACTGCATTACATCTGATCAACATCTAGGTCACAAAATTTTACCATTAATTCAGGTTTGTGTGGAAAAGAAAGAAAAGATAATCAATGAAAGAAATGAATTAAATGAGACAATTTATCCAACCTACCAGGACATTGCATCTGATGTACAAAACAGAATGAGTCAGTTAGAAAAGGAATATGGAGATCTCTCAACAGCCATAACAAAACATGGAGAGGACTGGCACAGAGAAATTGACAAACTTGTCAAGAAACTTAAAGCTGAAGTTGATGAGATGAAAAACACACAGTTACAAACTCTACAGAAACATCTGGATAAAATAAACAAGAAAATGTCTGACATCAAGGATGAAATTGATTCAGTTGATATTGCTTTAGACACAAATGACATGTCAAAACTATTTAGTGCCGAATCCAATATAAAGATATACAGAAGTCTTCCACACAAAATAATGCCATCTTTACCTCAATTCATTCCAGGAAAAATCGAAGCAGATCAAGTTAGTAAATTGTTTGGAAGTTTATCATCAAGTTCTTTATCATTGAATAAACATGGCTACGGCATGACGACACCACAGAAATCACCAGAAGCTGGATTCTCTCCTCCAGTCAAACAGCTGCTTGATGAACCAGAAACTGTCACCACCATAGTCACTGGGTATAGAAGTCTTTACATTGTGGCCTGTCTGAATGAGGAAGAAATCTGGACAAGAGGAAATGACAGCACCATGAAACTCTACAGCATCAATCAGGGATCACTCAAGTCAATCACAACCAAGTCAGGGAACAAACCAACTGACATAGCAGTGACAAAAAGTGGAGATCTAGTTTATACTGATTACAGTGATAGAACTGTGAACATTGTGAAGAATGAGAAGATAGAGGAGGTGATCAGACTACAGAACTGGAGTCCTCTGGGTGTCTGTAGTACCTCCTCTGGTGACCTCCTGGTTATCATGTACAGTGATGATTTCACACAAACAAAAGTTGTCAGTTACTCTGGCTCCACAGAGAAACAAACCATTCAGTTTGATGGTAAAGGTCAACCTCTCTATTCTGGTGGTTATTACAGATACATAACAGAGAACAGGAACCTGGATATCTGTGTGTCTGACTTAGGAGCTAAAGCAGTAGTGGTGGTCAATCAGGCCGGGAAACTGAGATTCAGGTACACTGGACATACTCCTGCTCCAAAGAACAAATCATTCAATCCACGAGGAATCACCACAGACAGTCAGAGTCACATCCTTACAGCTGATTCTTACAATAACTGTGTCCACATCATAGACCAGGATGGACAGTTCCTCCGTTACATAGACTGTGGACTGAGTGAACCCTGGGGACTGTGTATAGATACAAATGACAATCTGTTTGTTGCTCACACCAAAAATAAGACAGAAGTAATAATCAAGATTAAGTACATGTACATCAAGTAAATTATCATCTACAGGAATATGTATATTATATAAATACTTGCTAATATTATTACATATAGTAAGTCAAATTTGGACAGGTAATTAACTGCAAAGTGCCCCAGTATATGGATACAATGAATAACAATTTATTATTTAAATGAAGATACCCCTGATTACACTGGTGGCTTGGTGGCCTTTTTTTGGTATAAATGTGTTTTATTCAGTAGTGCTTCTACTAAATTTGTAAAATTTACTTATTGCCAGTTCACTGTGTGTTATACATGTTATAATGAACAGCGAGTCTTTTTTTACAATTAGATTTAAGTTTTATTAATAATTATAATAGAGTTCAAAAGGAGTTTTGAAACAATATGCACTGCTATTTTTTTCTTAATTATTTATTTTTTATTCATCATTTGTTCTTTATCACTGTGATCAATATGTACAGTACTTAATAAAATGATCACTGGATTAACTTTGATAAATAGGATAATTTAGTAATAAGAACTTCCAACTTTTCCATTAAAAATTTAATCTATAAGGGAAAAATTGAAAATTAAATCACTTTCATTGAATCAAAATGTTTATCGTACAAATATAAAATTTAAAAATTGGTTATCACAGATATAGTATGTTACTGGAAATATCTCCGAGCCGTCAAATGCCATTCAAAAATAAAATATAACAGTACATGCATAATGTTCATTTATTCCTTCATTCAGGAAATATAGTAACTTGCCTTTAGTGTATGCAGCTCCAACAATGTCGCACAATGTGTAGAGTATCAATTGACTATTTAGTCTTAACTTTGCTAAAGAGATGGTAGGTGACTCTAATGCCCTGTTCACACGCAGAGTTTAATTTGAATTAAACATATTAAGTTACTACGAATTAAATTTGAACAGCGTTCACACGGGGAATTTAATGCGAATTAGTTTAATTCAAATTAGTTTACTGCGCATTAAATTACCGGTACTTCGCATTAGCTCCATGTGAATGCTAAGCGATCCTAATTCGAATTAAATTTTGACGCATGCGTAGTGGCAAAATTAAGTCACATGCCTAATGTCAGACATAGGTACTTATGCTATTTTTAGTGGAGAACAAAGGAAAATTACGTTAATCACATTATGTCAAATGGATCTGCTCTGCATAAGGTGACGTGATTTGAAAATGACTTCATAATAGCCTTACTGAATAGCCTTACTGTAGAAATAAAATTTTAATTCGCATTACTTTCGTGTGAACCAATTTAGTTCGCATTAGTTTAATTCGCATCATTTTACTTCGCATTAAATTACTGCAAATTAAACTCTCCGTGTGAACAGGGCATAGGAACAGACCTGTCCATATGAGTGTCAAATGTCAAAATTATTATCCTCAGCAGTGTTTTGATTACTACATACAGAGCACTCAGACTTGTAGAAAACACAGGAAACATGCCTTTTCATGTTTTGGCCAGAATGCCAAATATCATGTTCAATGACTATTTTAGGCACAAAGTAAGAGGGACACATATTTAAATGCATCTTCTTCATATAAGCCAAGTACAACTTATAGCTTCTTGAGAATGGACATGCTCAAAAAATAAAACTTTACCCTCTATCCATAAAAACATCTCCTAGCAGCTTCTTGTATAATATTTGCAAATCATCCTTGTAAGTTTAGTCTTAGTAAGTTAGACTTGCAGTCATTTTAAATGATTTGGCTCCAAATATAAAAACTCATCTGGGAAATAAAGGTCAGAAGTAAAGAGTTTGGATTCCACAGTTACATCAGTTACATCATCCATGTAAATCAGTCCAGATGTTGAACACTGTTTCTTGGAATAGACCTGCTCCCAAAACTTGTTGTCTTCATATCAAATCTATTAGTGTAAAACTTTAGTTACATCATTATTGTAGTTAAGGTAGAATTTTTAATCGAACTTTAAACTTTCCCCCTTATCTGAAAATAATGTTCAGACACAGCTATAAAAGAAAGTCTTAAGAAAGGAATTAGTGTATTGAATACTTTCCACCTATAATGTATCAATTTGAGCAGTTCTTCACAGATTTCACATACTTTAATACCCACAGTCTGTTCTTCAAAAGAGATAAATATCACAAAATAAATCTATTTGTATATGAAAAATCTATTTTATAAGAATAAGCTTTAGAAGCACATTTCATGAATACATTAGTGAATTACATATTTTACTCAATTTTACATTACAATAAAATACATATCATTGTTACATGTAATCTACAAAATATTATGCTACTGTTATGTAACCATATTATATGAATGGTTATCTTTTATACATGACAGTTTTATCTGCATCAGCTGGGAAATCTTCTGTGAAGTGGTTTACCAAATCTAATTACTGTCCAAACTCTTTCACTTTTGTCCACTCTAATGTATGTTTCCATAGTGCATGCTGTAATTCCTCATTTTTCACAATGTCTGTGAACTCAACCTCTGCACACTCCCTTTTTATGAAAAAAATTGAAATATTAATTTAGGTTGAATGTGTAGATTAGGTACATACATAGAGAAAATTACATACTAAAATCCATATCATATGTCATATCAGCTCCATATAAGAAAAAATTGAATAGCTCTTAATTTGTATCAGCGTAAGAGGTATGATGAAAATATCTTCAATAATTGCTTGAAAACTGAACTAAACACACAATAGGAAATAGTGAGGTCAACTTCACAGGGAAGGTCAAGGTAAGAAAATAAATACACAGTTGAATAGTGCTAATGAATACGTATCTTTGTATGAAGTTTGATTAAATATCAAAAATCGCTTCTTTGAAACTAAGTTAAATGGAAAAAAGTATAATTAGGGTCAAGGTCATAGGAAATGACAAGATCAGAAAATTATGACACACTCGAATAATACCCACTAATATGTATCAGTGTAAAAGTTTTGATAAAAATAACCTTAATTATCGTTTTAAAACAAAATAGGTAATGGTGGGGTCAAGGTAATGGAAGGTCAAGGTCAGAAAATAATGACACAATTGAAAAGTTCTCACCAATATGCATCCATGTATTTGTTTTTATAGAAATTTCTTGAATAGTTACTTTGAAACTGAATTAAACACAAAATAGGAAAAAGTGAGGTCAAAGTCATATACGGAAAGTAAATGTCAGAAAATAAAGCCACAGATGAATACATGTAGCTCTCACCAATATGTACCAGTGTATGAATTTTGGTTAATATACCTTGAATAGTTTCTTTGAAACTGAGCTAAATGCAAAGTGTGACAGATGGAAGGATTGAAAAACAGAGATGGAAGACAGAACATGACAAATACTACATGTAGATGCCCATGCCATATTCATGGCGGGACAGATAAATACTCAAAATGAATATTTTGCAAGCTAAAATTTAATTTCATTGTTTGATAAATTTATGTTAAATTTCTTCACCTAACCATCCTTCAACCATGCTATGAATAGCTTTAAGTAAGTCAAATTCTAAAATTTATAGCTTTTTTCTTTATTAATCTACAGTACATTTATTATGAACTAAGGCTGAAGTAAATTTGAAGATCTTAGGTTGAGAAATACTTGATTTATTTATTGCCTCAAAGAAAGTGTTGATGCACAAAAGGAGAGATAGACAGATGGACAAAAAAAATGGCTACCACATATGATAGAGGTCCCTAAAAAAGATCATTGATCATTTTCTTTGTAAAATGCCCATATCATTTAAGATGGTAGACCTACATCATCTTTCTAATTTATTAAAGACAAACTAAACCTCACTTGTAGATTTTTCCGGACGTCTTCCCCGCTGATTCCGAGAGGAGAGCGTAAAGAGTTGTCTGTGCTCCATCTTCCGGAGTCTTCATCAAGAACCAAATAAACGGAGCAAATGACAGTCCAACAAATGCACTCTTTCTGAATGGAAGATGGCGATAAATCTTTGTATTGACCACCCCTGGTAGAACACAGTGTACATGAATGTTGTCATCTACAAGCAGAAGAATATATTTAATATAATTATAGGGTTTTTTGAAAATTTCCAATAATGATTTAAGAGTCAGACAGGTTCTATTGCCAGTGGACAGATAGCTCAGTTGCTAGAGCACCTGACTGGAGATTCAGGGGGCCCAGGATCAAAACCTGGTCTGCTCCATCACATTTTTCTCCTTTCCTGTTACAGTCAAATACATGTGAAACAAAAATAGAAAGGTAGTACTATTCAAGTAAACTGAAATATTCTAGTGCATATTAACATTAGCTCTATAGCAATTCAGAATTGTGACAGGCAAGACTCATAGGCCTCTTATTACCCCGGTAATTCATTTTTCTGCAAATCATATCACATTATCAATGACATAGTACACATGGATACAGAGTTATGGAGCTAATGACATTATGCACAATAACATTTTAGTTTAGTTGATAAGTACTGTGGTTTTTTTTTTAATTTTTATTTCATTAGAATCAATGTAACATAGAAGGAATACCTGCTCATTATAATCATACAAATCATTCCTTTGGATGTCTATGTATGTAAAGAAGTAGATTTGAAAATATCCAATGCATTTTCAATACATATATATGACAACATTTTAGCTCCAACCTTGCATCTGAACCCCTATCAAGAGGCCTTGAGTTTCAAAAAAATGTTAAAAGATGTACTGCTCATTCTAAGCAAGCAAAGACTTCACCTGCTTGATATTCAGGAGTATAGAAGGAGATTTTTAAAGACTGCATGAATTTCTATGGTTTTGACCCACCCATCAGCCCCATAATGCCTGGAACAATGAAAGTGAAAATGAAATTCATATTTTTTGTTCTTCTTCATCCATAGATGCTAAATAACAAAATAATTGTAAATGTCTCAGCCTTTCAGAGAAGAAACTGAAAATGCTTAAATGTTAATACAGCATGATATATGACTGAGTCTGTGGGAACTAAAATGCTTCAAATAAACAGCCTTTGTCATACCTTTAAGTTTCTCTGCTAGCGTGACACCAAACAACACGAGGGCCAGCTTGCTTTGGGCATATGCATCCCCGGGATTATATTTGTCCTGTGGGGGGCAGTCGGTAAAAGGGGGTGAGCCCAGTTTATATGCAGGGGCCACTGTCAGAAGAACACGGCTAGGTGTAGAACTTTTCAGGTAGTCTAGAAGCATGCTGGTCATCAGGAAGGGAGCTAATCCAAACAAAAGAAATTAATCAACATTTAATTATAAAGTTGTGTAATTTTAAATTAAACACTTTATATTTAGTAAGAACACACATTTAGATAAAATACAAAATTATTTTTTATATTTTAAGCAAACATGCATTAAATTTTTTTTTGTTTTGCATTCAATTTTTTTTTTATTGAAGATTGTTGATTTAATCAGGATAGAAGCTTAAGAAGAGGGTATTCTTAGTTTGTCTATTAATTAAAATACTTATGATTTTTCTACATAAAATGTCAATTCTTTTAATCATATTAAGTTGGCAGGACTTACAGAGATAATTGACCTGGAACTGTTCCTCAAATCCCTCCTCCGTTTTGTTGTACTCGCACATCATAACCCCGGCATTGTGGATCAGATAATTCAAATGATCCTCCTCTAAAAACAAAACATAGAAAAAAAAAAAATCTGTCTATTGCTTTATAGCTATATTATACATCTACACTGCATTACATACAATGGTTTTTGGTAGGTCACCTGATGAAAGTTTTCTTCACCACCGTCCATTGATTGTTTTAAAAACATAACATCAAAAATCCCTCATCTTTATACATAAAATATGAATGTGGTGACAGTGTTGAAGTACTAGTATAACTTACTTTTTTTGAATGCCGAGACAAAACTTTTGACTGAGGAGAATTTGTCTAGTTCACATACAAGACAGTGGACCAGTTCACTTTTGCTCATTTCTCTTATCTCTTTCTCCGTCGCCTGTGCCTGCTCCTGTGTTCTTGCCGTCGTATAAACCTTACAGCCTGAAAAAGCCAAAATATTAGAACAATAAATGAAATAAGTGGGCTGAAAAACAAAAACACAAGTCAAACTTCATTATCTCAACTCAATGTGATGAAGGAAAAACATCAAGATATCCAAGTATCTAAGAGGGTAAAACAAATACTAGAGAAAAGTGATTGACCTCAAAAAAGATATCAGTGTTTGAGATACCAAAGTTCAAAAGAATTCTGATACTAGTAAACTTTCAAACATCATTACTTTTGTGTTAATATTTCTGAAAATTATGTCATATGAATAGTAAAAGATGTTTACAGCTTACAGGCTTATACATGTTATGAATTCATGCTTTCAGCAAAATTATTTTCATTTCCCGAGTTTTAAGCCATACTTAAATGAACTTCACAGATGTAAAAAAACTTCAAAGTTTATAACTAATCAAAATTGTTCATTCTTGGCACTCCCCAATGTCTTGAGCCACGGTCCGGAGTCCGCATATAGCTCTCTCCAGAATGGGAGAGGATCATAAATTTTGGCCGTGGTTTTGCACTCCCCTATAAGCATGTTTTACAGTCCTGAAAACTTTTGAATGACATTTGAATAAAGCCTTCCTTTATTTTTTGTTAAATTCAATTACCTCTTTTGGCTAAGTCAATGGCTAGGTATCTCCCCATTCCTGACCCTCCTCCTGTTACTATGGCAACTTTATCATCAAGTTTTAATTCACTAATACATCGAGCACCTCTCATGTACTGCCTAAATACAAATACATGTACGTACATTTTCAGTATATTACAGCTTATGAGCTCTCTTTCCTAACAACTATATACAACAATAAACAACTATCAGCTAGCTAAGGTATTCTTTTATTTTCAATACAAACTTACAAGTGTGTATTTTCTTTTCCACTGGTAGATATTTAATTACAACAAATTCGAACATAACTTAAATTCAACATTTCAAATTCAAGTAAAACTAATTCTTTTCCCATTGATAAATTCTTTTTTCATATATCTTCCTCAGTTTTACCTGATATTCCCACAAGGTATCTAACCCTGAATTACATGTAGTAACCCCCCCCCCCCCCCAAATTCCAGTCACTCTTTTCAGAGAAATTGCTCTGGCAAACTATTTATTACCATCTCTTCTATATGCACGTGAATTTATCTACAAAACCACATATAGGAATGTCACCTGGAACATTTGTCTCACACCATGAAGTGCTTTATACTAAACATGGACAGAGAGCAAAATTTAAAAATCACTGGGTTTAAAAATTCAACTCCAACTTTTAAATAAACAAAACAAAAGGTTCAATTTAATATAAATAGGGATTTGACCTATAGGACCGGGCTTGGTTTTTTTCTCTACAAAAAGCTTGTCGATTTCCATTCCGATTATTGACATTAGGCTGAATACATGTAACAATTTGTTTTTCATAAATCTTTATTTCAGTGAGTAGAGGTAGGAGGAACACTTTCATTGATATTCTGAGTTTTTTTAATCTCCAAATGTAATAATTGATATTTTTCTTTACTTCTCATTGTACATAATGGTAATGTCTACTGTCTACTACCTCTGGAATTCTATTCTTTATGTCTAGGCTATTTATTTTACAACACATTTCCGTGGATATAATAAAAACATGCCATTGATGTGTGAAAATTATATAGACCTAAATGAAATCCAAGGGAGTACAGTGTTACTGATATATGTAGCCCTACTGTTTCAAAACTTAAGAACTTAGAACATTGACTGAAAACAAAAGTACATGTATGTTATTCTAAATATATTAAGCTCAAATAATTCAAGCAATACGTAACATACTACATGTAACCCAGACAAGCACTAGTAGCACAGACAGAATAAAAGCAATGTGGTTGAATTCTAAGAAATATATACAATTGAAATTTGTTGCAGCTCGATGCTGCTGAGAATACCTGTATCGAGTAACACAGAGTGAGTTATTCTTGTCCTCTGAGAAAGTGTGCTTATACTGAGGTTTGTTCCGCCTGACTGACAACTGTACATTGGATTGACATTTGTTACGATTTGATCTCTCTCTAGTGTTTCTTATATCAAGAATGGGAATGCAAAAAGGTTAGATAATTTATTTTCCATAAAAATATTACAAATTTTCTTCAATGTGAATTTAGAAACAGACTTTTAGTCCATCAAAATCCAGGAAAATATTTAGCCAGAGATTAGCACATAGCACTTCATGGTGCAAGACAACTTTTCCAGTCAGCGAGCAGCATTTTGATGCTTTTAGGGGGATAAATGAAAATAACGACATGCATGCCATCTATGTTTTTGTAGATAAATTATAATATTGTAGATGTGAATGGTAATAAACAGTCTACCAGTGCACTTTTCTGAAAGTGTAAATGACTATGATTCTTGGGAGGGGGTACTCCATGTAATTCAGAGTTAATTACCTTCAATTGTGTTATTATTATACTATGGATAAAAAATATTTTCAGTATGTGTTTAAATTTTGTGTGAGTTATTGGTGTGTAAATCACATAGACTTGTCACGTAGGCACATGAAGCTCGCAAGCACTTCATGTAAAATATGCCTGTGTGCAAGTCTGTGTGATTTACACACCAATAATTCACACTAAACTTAAAAACATTCCTTATATTTACATTTTACATGTTTAAAAGCTCCAAAAATTTACTCAATGTTAGAATTCCTCGCATCGTTACACTTTTATTTACATCTCTGTAGCCTCATTGTGAAGTCGCTTTAGCACGAGTTTCTCTGTATATGTTTCTAAGCATGAGTATACACGAAAATGGCAATAGTAAATTTCACAGTTGGCTTAGTAGAAAAAAAAAAAGCAAATGTACATATTATTGAATATTGAGAAATATTCCACATCATATATAGAACTTTTCCCTTTATTATTCATGTCTGAACTTGACATCCTTTCAATATACCACATATCTCTGGCACTTGATGTTTTGCTTATAACACAGTGTAAACTGAAGTCCCGGAGAGCGTTCTTACCTGAGGGCATAGGCAACCCCTCCAACAATTCCGATAATTATAGGCCACCACGATTCAAAGATAGCCTCAGGATTTGGCAAATTTGGCATAGAGGGGGGTTGGCTAGACATTTTTGGATACTTGAAATGGAATAATTATCAAATGGTGACTGACCTAAGCGCAGAATTTACAGTAAACGTGTATAAAAACCAGAAAGCGTGAAGTTAATAAAACGGGATATTACAAGACGTTCCCTAAAATAAAAACCTATTCGGAATCAATATATGGTTCTTCTGGTTGATTTCTAGAACTCATTGTATATTTCTATTCCTTTAAATATGATTAACCACTATTATTATCTAAAATGATTGTATGACACAAATAACTTTTAATATATGAATTTGTTTCCAAGATATTTTCCAATCCGGAAATATTTTATCCATCTACACCTTTAATTTTAATTTCATATGTCTTACTTCCGAGTAAAGTTTCGCAACGCAACACTGTGACTTTCACATGTATTTTTAAAAATTTTAAGGACTTTGGACAACAAAATGTAATATTCCGGGCTTAAATCGTCTAAAAATGAAACACTGAACTAATGGTAGTTACCAGTGAGTTTTGTGATTTTCTTTAATTTTTAGTTACTAATACATGTACTAATTTAGAACATCAAGCCTATACACCTCCTTTTATCAGTCTAGTCGAACCCCCGAACGGGGGTATACCCCCAAACGAGGGTTTTCCGTCCCGTCATGCAATGCGCAAGAACAGTAACTCTTGCCGTATCCAATATAAACAAACTTGCCTATATATCATTTATCTAAGGAAAAAGATCGATAATAATGTTATTTCTGCTATGAAATTGGTAAAATTTCAACAGAAAAAAATTAACAGTTTAAGTTTTCCATAGTTTGAATTTATACTGTAGGATTAACGAAATATTTTCCGTCATTTCATGAAATTAATTATTATTTTGTAGGACGTCTCAATTAAGATTGTGGAATTTAAAACACAAGGAAAAATATTCTAAGAATGAGGAAAATATTCATTTAGAACCTAGATTTAAATAAAATAAAATACAATCGTGTTTTCTCAAACAATCATATTTATTAATATAAAAAAAAACCAAACTACAACAACATGTTGCCAAACATTTTATTTAATTCTTATAAGATATAAAAGACAATAAATACGATAGATTTCATTTGAATTTTATTTTTATATGTATTTTTGTTCCACTTCCTGGGCATGATTATCGATAATAAAGACCGTTGATTGCTAGTCAGAGGAAACGCGGACTGAAACCCACGATAATAAACAATTCGATATTAGCAACATTTTTTCTTGCATTTCATTATGAAAATAAAAGATATAATGTAGAATAATCCTTTTTTTTTTATATAATTTCAATTTAGTATTAGTTGCTTATGTCTGTTTATCGAATGTTTTATCTTAAATACCTGCATGTCAAGGAGCAAAAGATCGCCAACTTTGCCAGTGAATAAATCCCGATTTGTACAATAAAGTTGTATTTTTGTAAAATACAAACTCTAAAAACACCTTTAATCTATCATTTCCGAGTGGTTTTACATTTGCCAAATAATCCGTTACTTTGCACCGGCGATTTTTGTAAACCCCTACTTTTTGCGTGAAATACGCACATTTTTAAGCATCTGCGCATGCTCGTACCCCCGTTTGGGGGTATGGATTTCCCATTTCCGTTTACCCCCGTTCGGGGGTTCGACCAGACTGTTTATATAGACATTACAGCTGCTTTAGTGGATATATCATACTCTTGTTAAACAAGGGTCATTTCCCCTTTTGTATATTCGAACTCATTTAGGCTCTTGCTAGAATGTGTTTCACATAAAGATGATGTAATCTTTTTGACAATAGAAATTGGAATAAATTTAGTAATGTCAGGGACCTATATACTATATAGGTCCCTGGTAATGTTTTTAAGATAATGAATTTCTAGCAAAGTGTCCTATATAAAATAACAATGCACACACTTTCATATATCAGGGTAATGGGATGCATTGCACCCATGCATGGTTCACGCTGGTATGTTTAGTTCCCATTGTTTTCCCATACATTTATTTAATGAGACCTTTCTTTTTAAAAAAAAGTTTAATTTTTATTTTTTTGCAGTGTGTTACTTATCATGAGAAATATCAGAAGGGACTGTGTTACTCAACAGAAACATGTCGTTCCCTAACTGGGTTGTCCACGCCAGCGCTCTGGGAACTGTGGCTCTGGGTTCTCTCCTCTTAAGGTAATTTTTCAAGTCTTGTGGATGAAAATGATTGTACATATTCTTTTAAATTTTGATGTTTACTAACTATTGTAACAAAAATACAGATGAAGGAATAACTTTGAATAATTAAGAATGAATTTATTCTGTATAATCTGGTTTGATAGCCATTAAATTAAATGAAAACGTTTTCATACAAGTTCTCTTACTATTGTTTTTCAGTTTATTGATAAGAATACAGTAGTTGGAGGTTTAATTTTTCTTAGAATTAAATAATTTCAGTCCTCTTGCAGTGAATTGGTTTTTCTGTATTTTAGAGATTACCTGTCTGGTAAGGTGTATAAAGGAGAGGAAATGTTACTGGGGAAAACTGCTATAGTGACAGGGGCCAACTCAGGAATAGGAAAGGAGACAGCCAAGGACTTCGCTAGAAGAGGTTCCACTAAAAGGATCATAAAATTAATTCATAATTCAAAATGTCATTGGTGTTGAAAGTTTTATTTTTTATGGAGAGACTTTTTAAAATTAATGATAAAACATTCAGAACAATTCTGTACAACTATTTAGAAATGTCATCTCTCAATGTTATTTACATTCTTGCAGATATCTTGTTTCAAGACAATGTAATTTTACTAATTGGTTAGGGGGTTTTTTTCAGTACAGTATAACATGATTACTAGTCTAAGAATTTTAATGAAAAAAATTAAATCACAAACAAGTCAGGTAAAAATTTAGCTGAAATTTAGAGAAAATGGCTAACTTTGACTTAATTACTAGCACAATTTTTCAATGTATATATAATCACTAGTTGTCCTGAAAGGGGTTATATTATGTCAAATAAACTTTGTATTTTTATTATCTCTGTTCCAAGGAGCTAAAGTAATCCTGGCTTGTCGAGACCTAGAGAAGTGTGCGGAAGCACAGGAACTCATCAGCCAGGAAACACACAACCAAAAGGTGTTCTGTAAAAAACTCGATCTGGCGAGTTTTAAATCTATCAAAGAATTCACAGATGACATTAAAAAAGGTGTTTATTTTATATAATTAACATCAAAGCTCTCACTGTAAGGATTCTCTGTACAGAGTTGTCACAAGGGACAAAGTCAGTATAATATTCACTGTACAGAGTTGTCACAAGGGACAAAGTCAGTATAATATTCACTGTACAGAGTTGTCACAAGGGACAAAGTCAGTATAATATTCACTGTACAGAGTTGTCACAAGGGACAAAGTCAGTATAATATTCACTGTACAGAGTTGTCACAAGGGACAAAGTCAGTATAATATTCACTGTACAGAGTTGTCACAAGGGACAAAGTCAGTATAATATTCACTGTACAGAGTTGTCACAAGGGACAAAGTCAGTATAATATTCACTGTACAGAGTTGTCACAAGGGACAAAGTCAGTATAATATTCACTGTACAGAGTTGTCACAAGGGACAAAGTCAGTATAATATTCACTGTACAGAGTTGTCACAAGGGATAAAGTCAGTATAATATTCACTGTACAGAGTTGTCACAAGGGACAAAGTCAGTATAATATTCACTGTACAGAGTTGTCACAAGGGATAAAGTCAGTATAATATTCACTGTACAGAGTTGTCACAAGGGACAAAGTCAGTATAATATTCACTGTACAGAGTTGTCACAAGGGACAAAGTCAGTATAATATTCACTGTACAGAGTTGTCACAAGGGACAAAGTCAGTATAATATTCACTGTACAGAGTTGTCACAAGGGACAAAGTCAGTATAATATTCACTGTACAGAGTTGTCACAAGGGACAAAGTCAGTATAATATTCACTGTACAGAGTTGTCACAAGGGACAAAGTCAGTATAATATTCACTGTACAGAGTTGTCACAAGGGACAAAGTCAGTATAATATTCACTGTACAGAGTTGTCACAAGGGATAAAGTCAGTATAATATTCACTGTACAGAGTTGTCACAAGGGATAAAGTCAGTATAATATTCACTGTACAGAGTTGTCACAAGGGATAAAGTCAGTATGATATTTATTACTGTGTTTTCCATTAATCATTTTATAGGGACATGTCTTACCAAATCTTATTGTTACATGTACTATCAACAAAATAGATTGTTATGACAACTCATGATTTTTTTTTTTTTAAACTCTTAAGTTCTGAAATTCAATTTTAAAAATCAACACAAATATTACTTTAAAATTCCTTAAAATGTTTTCAACTTTTCTATTAAGGGTGCAAGTGGACAAGAATTTCCTATTATGTTTCAAGTTGTTTTAGTCAAACAGATAATTTTGTCATGTAGTGATAAACTTCAAAAGGGAGAACATACCATAAGCTTATAATAATGGTAACATCCTTTCTTTTCAGAGGAAAAATTTCTGGATATCTTGGTCAACAATGCAGGAGTTATGCACTGCCCTTACCAGAAAACTGAGGATGGATTTGAGTACCAGCTTGGGGTGAATTATCTTGGTAATAAATTCATTTTTAGTCCTGTAAAATGGATAAGAACAATTAAGTATTAGATTAAGATAAAATTAAGATTTTTCCAGCATTTTCAATAACAACTGCAGGTTTAGTAACTGTTCCATTGTTTGTCGAGTTCGTCAGTCGCGGGGGGGGGGGGGGGGGGGGGGTGGGGGGGGGTAGACTGATTTTTAATTGTGTGATACGTATCGTGATATGGAGACTAAAATATCGGTATTTAGGTACATAATAATAAATTTCAGAAATAATTCATTTATTTGTTCAAACTTTCAAATTACAATTACAGAAAGTGTAAAAAATGATAAAAGAACGGCATCCTAGCATCCAAACATGCTCTATGTTATGTAAATAAAAAAATGCAAAAAGTGAAGTTATGTTTTTTCAGCATATTTTTAGGGAAAATTATGAATATTCATTTTAAATAGTTACGGTATAAAAAGTGCTTGTAAAAATATCATGATATTATCATGATATTTTAGGGGGAAATCGTGATATATCGCAATACGAAATTTTGATGATACCCATCCCTACTATTTGTCAAACCCTGAGTACTATTTTGGCATACCGGTGGTACTCTTGTAATTATTTTGCTCATACCGATTTTCACAGAATGAAATATTTATGGAAAAATAAATAAGCATAATTGGTACACATGGACTGATATGTTGCTAAGCTAATTCAAATCAAATGACAATTTTTCTTCATGCATGTTTACTGTCTATATTAGGTCCAGTCCTACTCACTTTGTGGTGTCTATTTTAGGTCCAGTCCTACTCACTATGTCGTGTCTATTTTAGGTCCAGTCCTACTCACCATGTTGTGTCTATTTTAGGTCCAGTCCTACTCACCATGTTGTGTCTATATTAGGTCCAGTCCTACTCACCATGTCGTGTCTATTTTAGGTCCAGTCCTACTCACCATGTTGTGTCTATTTTAGGTCCAGTCCTACTCACTATGTCGTGTCTATTTTAGGTCCAGTCCTACTCACTATGTCGTGTCTATATTAGGTCCAGTCCTACTCACTATGTTTTGTCTATATTAGGTCCAGTCCTACTCACTATGTCGTGTCTATTTTAGGTCCAGTCCTACTCACTATGTCGTGTCTATTTTAGGTCCAGTCCTACTCACTATGTGGTGTCTATATTAGGTCCAGTCCTACTCGCTTTGTGGTGTCTATTTTAGGTCCAGTCCTACTCACCATGTGGTGTCTATTTTAGGTCCAGTCCTACTCACCATGTTGTGTCTATTTTAGGTCCAGTCCTACTCACCATGTTGTGTCTATATTAGGTCTAGTCCTACTCGCTTTGTGGTGTCTATATTAGGTCCAGTCCTACTCACTATGTCCTGTCTATTTTAGGTCCAGTCCTACTCACTATGTCGTGTCTATTTTAGGTCAAGTCCTACTCACTATGTTGTGTCTATTTTAGGTCCAGTCCTACTCACTGTGTCATGTCTATTTTAGGTCCAGTCCTACTCACTATGTCGTGTCTATTTTAGGTCCAGTCCTACTCACTATGTCGTGTCTATTTTAGGTCCAGTCCTACTCACTATGTCCTGTCTATTTTAGGTCCAGTCCTTCTCACTATGTCCTGTCTATTTTAGGTCCAGTCCTACTCACTATGTTGTGTCTATTTTAGGTCCAGTCCTACTCGCTTTGTGGTGTCTATATTAGGTCCAGTCCTACTCACTATGTCGTGTCTATTTTAGGTCCAGTCCTACTCACTATGTTGTGTTTATTTTAGGTCCAGCCCTACTCACTATGTCATTACTGGATCTTCTTATTAAGTCTGCACCTAGTCGTATCATCAATGTATCAAGTAGTGTAAGCCAAGCCGGACATATCAACTTCAGTGATCTCAACTCAGAGAATGGCTACCATCTGACTCTTGCCTACAACCAAAGCAAATTGGCTCTCTTGATGTTTACAAAGGAGCTAGATAAACAGTTAAAAGGTAACGCTTTGGACTTTGGATCTCAAACACTGATACCTGGGAATAGTGAATTGAGCTGGAAGTCCCAAGCACTTCTCAAATATTTTTAATTTTTTTATCCCATTGAATTCAGTATAACAAGGTTTGATTGTACCATGAACACAAGAAATAAGGCTTATCTACCAGTATGCCCATTTAACAACTTTTAAAAATTTTATCCATATGTGTATGAATATCCTGAAACTTTACTTTTTTTGTAGGAACTCAGGTGACAGTCAATGCCCTACATCCTGGTATTTGTGACACAGATATTGGTAGAAATGTGAAGGTCAACAAGGTCATGTCCGCCCTGTCCTACCCTTTTAGATCTATATTTGTTCGTCAGCCCTACAGAGGGGCACAGACTTCCATCTTCTTAGCTGTCAGTCCAGAGGTGGAGAAAGTCTCTGGCAAATATTTCAGGTCAGCTCAGAATCCTTACTCAAGTTTTCACAAGTATAATGAACCATTAATAATGGTATTTAAAATAATGTATTGGTACTATTTACAGTAATTCTTATCAAAAACAATGAATTTTCAAAGGGAGCTGTACAGGTATTTGTCCAAATATTTGTCTAAGTTTGTCTTTGTTATCTTTTCCTATAGTATGAACTGTTACACATTTTATTAATCTCTGGTGTTTTCTCTCTGTAACAGTGATTGTAAAGAGAAGACAGTGAGCTCTGAACAGTATTTGGATGATGAGGCTTGTAAACGGTTATGGCTACAGACTTTAAAGATGATTAAACTGATATGAAGGTTTAATATTAAAACATGTTCAATAGGTTTAGAATGTATGTGTTTGAATGTAATGAAAGAGTGATTTCACAAATAAAATAATAAAATTTGTTTTGCATTCTTTAGTCTTTTTGCATGTAAAAAGGAAAAGAATTAATAATCAAAAAAGAGATATTTTTAGATTTTTCTTATGTAATGCAATGTACCCTGACAGAAGTTTATGTAAGAAAGATGTGCCAGTGATATTATGGTTCAGATCTGTTTTCACAAGACCTGAATGGTCACAACCCTTGAATAGTATAAAAAAAACTTTCTTGGGGGTATAATAACTTAATTTGAAGGCCAATACTTACTGAGTACCGCTATTTAAGCAACAACTATCAATTAGGAAGATAGAGACTGATCTTTGATTCCTTAAAACTCAGGATTTAAATATGCAGTTTGAAAGTAGTGTCATGAGATCATAAACATGTCATTATTGTTATATGCAAGTTATCAAAGCACAGACCTCTCAAAATTCTAACAATAAATTTAAGGTTTCGAAGTAACCTCAAAAAGTTTGTAAAAGGTCAAGGTCAAGTGGACTGTAAAGTCATCATGCACTGCTCTGAAAAGAGAGAGGGCATACAAGGTGAGCTGTCAATGTCCCTCTCTGAGACAGCATGTTTCTCAATTTTCAAATTTCACGGAAAAGTTATATTTTTCTAAAATGATGTTTTCAGTAATGTCATCTTTAAAACATTTGATTCATTTATTTAATTGAACGACTTATTAATTGATAATTTGTTTTTAATTATCTATGGCTCTATTGGTCATTTAGTGAAAATTTAATGCATTTATTCTTCGAAAATCTTTTTCTCTTCTCCTGGGTATTTGCAGACAAACTAAAGTGCATGGTTATGATGAGCAAGGATGCTTCTTCCAAAATTGTGAAATTCATGGCCTCAGGGTCAGAAGTTCCAGTATTAGGGTGGGGCTCTATTATGATTTTATATGGGAATATTTACTCTGCTTTACGAGAAGTAATATCCCTATGTTATTCACTTATGATAATTAATGTAATTGATAGGTAAATTGAATAAAAATTATACAAGTTTTTTTTTAAATATATAATATGAAATTAATTTAAAAGTACTTTCACGTTTTTAATTGTCTGCTAGATTTGTAAATAATAGATGAATATAAATGAGACAAAAATACCTTACATATGTACATTATACAAATATAGCCATTTCATGAAGTCAACCCATAGATATATAGACTTCAGAGAAAAGTATATTGACCGAGCATGATATGCCTCATGAAAGGGCTACATTTATGAAATTATTATTTTTTTTATAGAGATTGAAAAAAAAAAAAAAAAAAAAAAAAAATTCAAAATAATGGGAACAAACCACAGGTTTTTCTCTCGTCTTTTTTGTTAATACATAGAGACTAGAGATCAAAATAAATTAAGCTGTTTAATGTCATTTGTGTTACCTTTTTACTGATAGAGTAATTTAGGGACTATACCAATTAAAAAGGTACATTTGTTTTATTATAATTATTTTATACCAATTGATAACAAATATATCTAATATGTTTTAATATAAAGAAAATGCTTATTCAAGGCATTGTCAGAACTTAATTATAGAACATCACAATTACAAATAGGAGGTGAAGTATCTGTTTGTTGTTTTTTTTTTTCAGAAACATCAAGTGATATTTATTAGTTATTGTGAAGTCAACACTATTGTTGTTTTATAAAAGATTAATTCCATTTTTCAAAAACATAGGTTTATATGAGTTTCGGAATCTTTTGTTTAAAGTCCTTTAAACCATATTTTATTTGAAAATGACAAGCAAAAAATACAGGCAAGTAGTACAGAAAATCAAAAAGGATTCGGAAACAAGTTTTACAAATTTATACTGATCCGTTTCCTTTTTAATTATGATTAAGATGACAGACCCTTATTGGATAGTCACAAAACACGGTTTTAAGCTGCTTAAAAATGATATTCGAAATTTACATACATATTAAATTAGAAATCATGTCGGAACCTTTATATAGTAACATAAGTCTGTATACTATTATATACTTGATCATGTGATCAGGTTTGAGCCAATCAGAGAGCTTGGAATAATAGAGAAAAAATATTTAAATATTATTCAAAGACCAAGAGAGGCCAATATGTTTCGGGGATTATGCTGGGTCTATGTTCTCTGTGAATATTGTGTTTTCTGCCAAAAACACTTAAATTGTCTTGTTATATTTAGTGATCGTGTTAGAGTATACACTGATATGTACAGGCAAGTTTTTAATGGTTTCTGATTACCACACAAAGTATTTTGTTGACCTTCTCTCGTTAATGCGTTTCAGTTAACTTTGTATAATTATTACCATTCTATAGGTTCTTTCAGGGGGGTTGTATTATACTCAGGTGACCGTTAAGGCCCTTGGGTCTCTTGTTTCAAAAACGTCTTATGACAGTTGCTTACTTGCTAGGATTTACCTCTCAAAGGTCAAAGAATTTGCTGCATTTCTACACTGAAGTATCTTGAAAAGTAGGTCAAAGGTCAAGCCGGTATAAAAGTCACAAAGTCGGTAACCCTGGTAATTTACAAAAGCCATTGATACAAGCAATGCATGAGCAAAAATATAAAATCCCTAGCTTTCTCATATATATATACACAGAGAGAGAGAGATTAATTTGTTCTTCAATTTATTATAATAGATTTACTTATTAATCTTCATGTATCATTTGTTTCTTAATACATAATCAGTAGAATTGACAAGCGGAATTAACAATTAATTGCCTCAATATCATATTGTCTGTATTGGGTCATAGCTTAATCCGGCATATGGAACGCGGCGAGTCCAAATAATCCAAGAAGCTACAGCAAAGTATGGATCGAAGGGAAAAACGAAATGCATGGAGAGTGGGTAGTTATATGATTGATAATGGTGCTCAAATTGAAACAAGGAAGAAAATACACCTCAGCTGAAATCCCACAAATATATATCCTTAATTCAATCACCCCATTTCACCAGTTAAAAATCAGGAGCAAGTGGGGAGAGGAGGGGGAGGTCAGTACGTGTTACAAAAATTTGCGATATCCTAATAAAACCAATATCAGTATCTATGATTGAGGTCGATATTTCGATCTTAATCAATATCTGTGGGTGGCCTGTGAGATCTAGACTGATGCAGAAACATAACATTTTGGTTGGAAATATAGTGTCTCAATCTGTCGCGGGGCTAAAGTTTGTACAAGGCGATCATCATGGCCACGACAATGCTCTATCTATTTTATTTAGAGAATGAACTAGCGCCCACCCCCTGAAATGGTCAAATTCCAAATAGTTATGGGTTAATTTATCCGATAAAGACATGCATAAATTAAAAGTTTTATTTCTCTTTTTGGGAGCTTGATTCCTACGCTTTGCTTCCACAGACCTTCTTGAAAATATTCGTAGTTTTACTGATTAATCGTGGTAATCACGACAAAAAAGGACTTCATTTAGAACTCAAATTTCCGCGGGAGCTGCCCCCCCCCCCCCCCCTTCAAACTTCAAATCCTGGATCCGCCCCTGGGTTCAAATGATTACAGTTCCTCTAGCAGGATATGATACATAATTTTCATTCTAATTCAGGGTCCATATAAGTATAAACAGAATGCATAATCTACAATAAAACAAAGAAGGTCTTTTAAAAAAAATAGGCCTATAGGTTAAAAAGAACAGTGAACACACGTGTGTACACACATAGGCCTATTTATAGATTCTATATTTGTTTCACAACTTTGTATTTTAAAAATTTTAGTGACGCTCTTTTACGCGTATACTGTACTGAACAATACGAGATATTGTGCACGTTTGTTTTATTCAAGGGAAAAACTGTCGTCATAACTCCGTCACCGCTTGAATCAGCCAAAACTTCCGTGATGACTTGACCTATTTTAACCTCTGATCTACTTTCTGAGTAGTATGGTTGACCAATAGTGTCATATATTTTCAAAGCAATGTTAAATTATCTTTCATTCTTGTATGATGATTGCCAAAATGTTAGCGATAACTTTTACAGATATATTTATTTCCATCTTCGCGTAAAAATATTTTATTCAAAAGCAAATTTGATTTTTTTAAAGGTAAAAAATATATTTCATATACATACTCGTGGGCCTCCGTACACTGATTTGGTAACTGTACATTGGTTCCCTACAAACCAATCAAAAGGTCGTACGCCGTGTAGCAGCGCCTCTACAGTTTTAATGTCGTCGAAGGGAAGGAGAACGTCGGACCCAACTTTCCGCGGGACAGGGGAGATAGAAACCATGTTTATCAAGACTAGACGGAAACTAGAAGGACTGTATCATTTACTGCGGCTACGATAGATAAATTTTAGTTCTTTTTCTGTACTTAGGTAAGATTTCTTTGTTTTGATGTTGTTTTCAAGTGCGAGGTCATTGCTCGCGTTTCGGTGTCTATGCCGACGGCATCATGTAACTGATGAAATCCTATCTTTATAACGTAAAAACGTTTCAAATCGCTTCACTTAGTACAAAAGTAAAGTTTTATGTCGAACGAATGTTTATTTATCATTAATCACACAATTCTTTATGTAATTTTCTGTTTGAAAAGAAGTGTTTTATGGGGGAAATTTTGGGATATAAATAGAACACCTGAATACCAGATCGAGGCTGTTTACTTGAGACGAAGATGTTTGCGAATAAATACGCTTTCATTTAATTTGTTTATTGAAACGGAGATGATCATTCGTAAACAATATTGATTTATAATGCTTTTTTTAAAGGCTTATTCGTTTTTCCTGATGGACAACGTAAATTTAAATTTCTTGGTAAATGGCTATAAATAGATGTTATGGAAATTAGGGTAGCACTATTTTAGGAGTGTGAAGTGAGATCCCAAAATACAAAGAATGATTTTGTAATTTTTTTTTTTCAGGGTTAATTTGCTTCTTCAATACTGCCAGGGAAATATGGGGGTCAAACGTAAATCTGACGAAATGGAACTGGAGGGAAGTCAAAGGCAGTCTGTTCTTAATATATCAATGTGTAAACTTCAGAATCCTTCAGGGAAAAAAGTTGAACCATCACTTCTGAAATCAGTACTTATCTTAAACACTTTAAAACACATAGAAACAGAACTTAGAAGAGAAGGCATAAGTAGCGAGCTGCCTCCATCTGCCAGTCTCTCTTTCCACAGCGATGCCGAAAACTTCACCATGGATGTCCTTCCGCTGGACTCGTTAGATGGTTCCAGTGAGTATATAGAACAAGACATGTCCGACCTTCATATCAATGGAAACCTTCCACAAGGGATGGAAAGTCAAGACGACCAAAGCATTTCTAAAGCACCTCTTCCTCCATTCGAGACTTTTGTTGAACTTTCAAACTCAAGCACTCACAGTGCCAACAACTCACCAAAGAACAAGGTCATTGGCCAAAAAATTGATATATGGAGCTCGAGTCTCCAGAGCAACTTACCGTTCCGAGTAGAAGATGTTCTCGGGGACACCGATCTATCCCAGTGTGATTTTGACATTTTCACGTCACTTTCATCAACTATCAAGTTGACGCCTCTAAGTGCCGAGGAGGTTCTTCATTCGTTTCCCTCCAATTCCTTGTCCGATACTTACCAGTCCTTTCTGTCGACTTCGTGTAAAAGTGACATCCTTCCCGAGGAAATTGACAACATTATGCAGATTTTAGTAGGAACGTAGATCAACTTTAGCTGCCTAAGAAGTTATTGTTAGACTGATAAACATTCAGATGAGGTAGAGACTTTTTACTTTAAACCCATGGCAGCACGATTGTTTTACTGTTGAAGTTTTAGGGTGATGAGAGAATGGTTATTTATTGACTGTATGTTACAATATAACTCTAATCAAAATAATAATGTACTATAAGAGTATACATTGTGATTCGGGGCAATGTGCTCCAGGATTGTGCAATTTCATTGTCAATATTATTGCAATGCTTGCCAACAAAGGATGTAAATATCCCATTATTAATTTATTGACATTGTTTCATATGCATTTGACAATATGTGAATCTATTTATTGATATCTCTGAGGAGAGGGTACTGAGTATATGGAGATTTTTACTTAAATGTTTAGTAGTATGAATTGTATTTTATATGTTTTTACAATGCATAGATTTTATTTATCAGTAGATAGACAAATGAATTTTGATGGCGAAGTCGTTGAGTAATATTCACATACTGTGATATTATCTGACTGCTGGCCAATTTAATTTTTTTTTTTTTTGTGGATGCAAAATTTATTGTTGAAATGATCAAAGTGGAGTGAACAAAATTGTGAGAAAACACTAGACATTTGTGATTCTTAATATGATGGACACTTGTAGGTTAGAAAGTCTGGTTTACCTTGAACAGATTAAACATTTGATGTTTTAAGTACGTCTGTACTTGTAGTAGATTTGATGAGGAAGTAGTGTATCCCCAAGATCAGAGTAAAACATAACTATAACAGAGTACACACGCATGAGATTGTATAACAGAGAATATTGTATAACAGAGAATATTGTGTAACAAGAGAATTTTGTGAACAATATTAGGAGACCATTTTGATGATATTTGTATATTGCTGGTGTACTGAAACATTGGGTAAAAATTCATATCTTTATAGGTAAAATCCCAGTGAAATTAGAAGCAAACTATTTATTCCATTGTGTAAATATTTCATCATCTTTATTTTTATTCATCATTGAACATTTCACATAAATCACTCATTGAACCTACATTTTTGACATGATTTCATTTATCTATAGTATTTATATCATACATATGTGTAATATTTATACATTGAAGTCTCGAGTTGTTGACTATTGTTGTGAAGCAAGGGGAGATAATCTCTATTTTTGTGATCTGTTAATGATGAAATTTTAATCATGAAACTATTTTAACCAAGATTGATTATATTTATTCTACTTTCTTATTTACCAATCTGAAAATTATTTATATTTTATGGACAAAAATGTTTTTTAAAGAAATAATGCATTTGTTACAAAAATTGAATCAAAATTTTATAATATTTTGTTGAAAATTTACAATACATATCTTTCTATTTTCATCTCACAATCATCAATTGTTGCCTTATGTATGGTTGCCTGAAGTGTATATGAACCTTCCAAAAATTATCTTACAAATGCACACAAGGGTATTGTCCCATTGCGGAGCTTTTCAGAAGAATATTAACATAGCTATGTTTTTGTTTTGGTTTACATTTTTAAGTAAAGGTGGGCAACTGAAATCAAAAGTGAGAACACTTTCTTTTCTCATCATGTTTAATTTCATTTTGTATTTCATGTTCATTTTACTACTTAAAATACTTGCAATGTCTGTATACGCAATCATTCCTCATTTTCTAGGCACACTTTGTAAATATTATCATTAGGTAGTTAATTCTACAGCATTCAAACAGGGTCATAATTGCATAACTATGTTGAATCATCTTTTAATGATGTTTGTTTACCATTGTTGGCAATATCTGTTTCAGAATTTTTTTCTCTATGCACAGGCCTACTGTTCTCATGTGATGTAGAAATTCATCAGATCATATGTCCATAAGTTGTATTTCATTAAATTTTATAGAGAAATACGCTCATATTTTCTTGTGTTTAATGGCTTAAGTTGGAAAGTTGGTAAAGAAAAAAACAGAGGATTTTTCTTCATCTCTCACAGTGTTGAAGATTGCCAAATTGAAGAAAGGGGGATGGGGGTGTCGTCATACAATCGATAAGTAATTTATGGTGTACCTGAGTTTTAGCTACAACAGAGTTTCTGAATGGGATTTTCAATCTAATATTGCTTAAGTTAATTTGAATTCTAGAATTTCTATGTAAAAATGGTGAAGATAACGAATAGTGATCGATCTCAAAAAAATCTACAAACAAAACAGATCAGGGCATAAACACAGACCCCTGGAAATTCCAGAGATGGGATCAGGCAACTGAGAATAGACTGAAGTCAAAATTTCATATCAATATAACTTTTGAAATAATTTTTATAATGACACAAAATTTTCAGTGTAAGTTTGAACTTGGATATAATTCAAATATGCAAATTGTTATGCACATATATTAAATAAAACTCCAGATATTCAAAATCAAAATTTTGACTTAAGTCTGTTCTCAGTTTATGGTCTTGAGGCCAGGTACATAGGAGCTTCATTAATTGATCACTGTTCAACACCTTCACCTACGTTAGGGGATTCAATTTTGTTCAAATCATGAACCCTGGGGGTAAGGTCGGGACACATTAGGCATTTTAATTTTATAGTATTTAGGAAAAATCTCAAAAAAAGTAAAGCCTTGGTTAGTCATATGTATACGAGTATATGAAAGCATCCCAAGGTAATGCACATTCAATTTTTTTCCCCTTGGGGGTAGGATAGGGCACAATGGATGATCAATGAATGCATGGAAATATCGAGGAAACTAGAAATGAATGCATTGAGTTGATGCATTAGTAATGCAACATGGAAATTTGTATTAGTGAATGAAGTTTGATGAAAATATCTTTAATAGTTTCTGTAAAAGTGAGTTTTACACAATAAATAATAAAGTCAGTAAAAAAAAAATGGACAGAGTGTAGAAATTCTCACCAAATTATGTATCAGTGCATAAGCTTACATGAAAATTATTTTGAGTGGTTTGTTTGAGCTAAAGGAAACAATAAGAAAGGTTAAGGCTATACATTTTGCACATGGTTGAATATTTCTCATCAGTATGTATCAGTATAAATGTGTTTAGATTAAAATCTTTGAAACCGAGCTAAACGCATATTCAAGAAAAGTGAGGTCAAAGGGACTATCAAAGTAAAAAAAAAACAATGATGCAGTTTAATTGCTTTCACTAATATGTATAATCAACATATGAAGTTTGATAAAAAGGTCTTGAATAATTTCTTTGAAATGGGCTAAACACAAATTCAAGAAAAGCTAGTGAGGTCAACGTCAAAGGAAAGGCAAGGTAAAAAAAAAAAACGTCGATGCAATTGAATAGCTCTCATCTACACTAAAGGTTAAATACATGCATCTTCAATAGTTACGTTGGAACTGACTAATCATGTTTTTGCTGTTCTGTAGAAGAAGAATTTTCAATATTTTTACGTCCTCTACGTGGCCGGGTTATATATAGTGTTTGCCATGTCCCGTCTCCCCTCCTTCCGTCTGTCCTTCATGTACTGCGTTTATATAGCTCATATATGGAAACAGCCTCAGGTACTCTACAACTGTAGATACAAATCTGTACAAATAAGGACCCCGGGGTATAGTGGGGGCTACAATGGGCAATCAGATTTTCCCTTACCCCTGGAGGTATAAGGTTGGGCTACAATTGGCATTCAAAGTTTTACAAAGAAGCATATTGGAAAACACTTTCTTTAAAATTCTTATCCTCAAGATCAGCAAAGCCATGATTAATCGTTTTATTTATATGGAAGCAGCCTCACTCAGATAGCGTTAATTCAAGTTTATTCAAATAATGACCCCCGGGGGTAGAGTGTAGTCATAATGTATATGCGATCAAAGTTTTAGAAAGGAATGGGAGAAATCTGCTGATGAAGAAAAGCAGAGCTATGGTGACTCGGGTGAGTATGGTGGCCCATTGGCCTCTTTTTAGGTCACCTTAGTTGAAAGCTGAAGTGAGTTTTTGACCTTAAGGACAAAATAAGGGTGGATAAACAAGGGTGGGGAATAATAGGGGATCGATAAAAGTTATTTATTGGAAAGTATGGGGAAAATCTTTTCCAGAACGTTTTAATTTTTTTTACAAAGGTTATTTTTTTTAAAAACAAAACAAAACAAAAAAATTCTCACGAAAAAGATTCTCGAAATCTCCAAAGAGCATTTGGAAAAATATTTTTTTTTCCTGATTTAACCAATAACATCAAAAAGTTGTTTTTCAATCTTTATATAACAATTTCTCACGATAATTTTACACCTTTCTCTGATTTATATGGAAGCCGTGGCACGCACTGTCACAGAATTTCTTAAAACTCGCTATGATAAAATATTTGATACGATTAACTCATATTTGACAAGAACTGATTGCCTATTTTCTGGGATACCATGGCAACATTTCTAAAATTTGAAAAATAGCAATTTCCTTGTAACATATTTTCAGGAAGAACGATCATAATCTCAAGTGAGTTTTTCTGATCTCTTGTTGTCAGACGTCCGTCTGTCCGTCTATCTGTAAACTTTTCACATTTTCAACAACTTCTCGAGAACCACTAGACCAATTTTAACCAAAGTTGGTACAATACATCCTTGGGTAAAGGAGAGTTTAAATATTCAAAATGAAGGGTCAAGCCCTCTGACAAGGGGATATAATTTAAAAAAAGGACAAAAATAGTGTGGCCATAAAAATCTTCTCAGGAACCACTGGGCCAGAAAAACAGAAACTTACGTAGAAGCCTCCTGGTGTAGTGAAGATTCTAAATTGTTAAAATCATGACTCCCGGGGGTAGAGTGAGACCAAATAGGGAATCAAATTTTTATATTGAAATATTTAGGAAAAATCTTTAAACGTCTTATTCTCAAGAACCACTGGGCCAGAAAAGCTGAAACTTATGTGGAAGCCTTCTGGTATAGTATAGATTCTAAATAGTTCAAATCATGACCCCTGGGGGTAGGGTGGGGTCACAATAGGGAATCCATGTTTAACATTGAAATATAAGGTAAAAAAAAAGTTAAAATCTTTTTTCTCAAAAACCACTGGGCCAGAAAAAATTGAAACTTATGTGGAAGCCTCCTGGCATAGTGTAGATTCTAAATTGTTCAAACCATGGCCCCAGGGGTTAGGGTGGGGCCACATATTTTGGAATGTTTCAGAAAGGCCCCTGGCAAGAAGGAACAACCTTGGTATTTCTGAGAAGTCTATGTAAGGACATAGACTGCCAACCCCTTTTTTGTTGAAATATGCTTGAACCCTCTCCTTAATGCACCATAAAAAATTTTTTTTTTGTGTGTAACCCACTTACCCCCCCCCTCCCCCACCCCCTTTTAAAATTAAATTTCGTAATACAATTTTTAAAAATTCTTTTTCAATGCCTTGTCAAAGTTTTTAAAGGATTTATATTATTCCCCTCCTCATTTTGAAAAAAAGGCTAATTCGGGCCTAGGCCTGCTAGCTAATAGAAGTTGAATGGTCGAACTTCGCTGGTTACCTCTAAGCTAAAAAATAAGCTTGTGATTAATCTCTATCAGGCGCGTAGCCAGAATAGAAATGATGTGTACGCAGAGAACGGCAGGGTGTTGGATGGGGGCGGTCTTGAGCCCCCCCCCCCCCAAGTGTTTAAGGGTTCTGGTCAGGCACGTAGTATAGCTTTTGCCAGCCAGGAAAAAATTACAACTTTAAAATTTTGTCAAGCAAGGACAAAAAAGGAAGATTGTCAAAATTCGAAGTCCTATTTCTTGTGTATGTGTGTTTGTTGAAGGGGGAGGGGGTGTCCATCTTTCACAAACCAAATTTTTATTAATACATTACCAAATTACCATGATTTAACAATGGTGCAACAAACAGTGGGGGTCCACCCTTTCAATGTACATTTTCAATAGTAAAAGGTTAAGTTTTGGGAATAAGTAGCTCCCCTGATACTACGTGACTGCTGGTGAGGACCCAGAAGCTCCGGAGTTTTACCAAATATTTCCTTCATTTTCTTGAAATATAAAAATTATGCCATTTAGTTTTTGTTTAGGAAATAAAAGACATAGTAATATTTATTGCTTTACCGAAAATTAATATTCCATGGAAACTTATTGTACATATAATGGAGGCTAAAAATTTAACCGATATATTAATTGGTATCATATAATCATTCTTAACGTTTAAAAACACGTATACGAAATTTTAATTGTGAACAAAAAAAATATCGTATTGTAAATCATACTAGTAGATCATAGCATTCAACGATGTGGCTGAAATTTAATTTAAAAAATTAAATTAAATTTGACAAAATAATGAATGATTTATTTGGATTTGAGAGTTATTAAATAAAAGATTTCAAATTTTATCATGCAGCCATAATAATTTAAAATTTAGATCGACACTGTATGACACAGAATAATTTGAAACACGAATATTTGTTGGATGGTACTGAGATTTTTTTCTCTCCGAATAATTCTCTCATTTTTCTTATCTTTTTTTTTTTCTTTTTTTTCTGAAAATGATGTGTACGCACTTGCGTATGGGCAGCTACGCGCCTGTCTATACACGGTATTGAAATTCAGATTGCATGGTTTTCATTCATGTAAATGAAGAAAACAAAAACTGAAAAAAGCATGAAATGCAAAATCGTCTAGGAATTTAGGATACTTTGGATGTCAATTTGAACAAATACTTTAACATTCTAAAACTATAGATGAAATTAAGAAACTCGTATTGTTAATTCTCGTATGCAGGCCCTTTATAACAGTCAAAATATCTTTGTTTCGTTAGATTTATTTGGGGGGGGGGTGCTTAAAATGTTATAGAATTTTTTTTATGAAAATATATTCTAAAAGAAATTAGAGTTCTTAGGTCAGAGGCCATATGACGATGACTCATGACGTCACAGTACTGGATTGATGCGAAAGCCAATGGTATGGACAAAGAAA